TTCTTCCATTTGAGCTTCCATTAGTTCTTCTTGATATCTCAACTCTTCCATCCTCCTCTTCATTTCATGTCGTTGCATTAACTGATTTACTTTTAACTGTGCGAGAGCCATCTTTTCCCTTTTCTTTGACAAGGCTGATGCTGAACTTGTTCCACTTGTTAAACTACTAATCTGGCTTCGACCTTTACCAGATCCATACAACCTTGGCTTTTTACACCAAGATGCTACTACTCCGTCCAATTGTACCTTTTTTGCCATCTGTTCTTTGTATGTCAAACTGGCTCTTCTTTTCTCATCCTCAGCTGTGACAATTTCTAAATATTCCTCATGAACAGTTACAAATTCACACCACGTTTTATCATAAACATCTTTCTTCGACATAACCTGGCCAACATTCCCAGGCCCTGCATCAATAAGTCCTTGAATGTCTTCTTGTAATCTCAAAAGACTGTTAATATATTCCAACCTCGACTTAAATATAGTGTTTATATCGTCCAATAGTGACATATTTTCTTGTCGACTCTGACGACTCATACTAACACAGTTCAGTAGCACTTCTCAATACATGCCAAACCCTTTTAAATGTCAAGTTTAGTGTCTACAATATATGTCATATATATATATATTTGGCTCAAACAATTCCAATATGCAATATGCAACTGTAATCCTCGTATGATACAGTACTATTTTCAAATAAACCTTTTTTTTCTTTCAGAATACACTAAGACAACATTCTGAATCACTGATTGTCTATCCCAAGACAAATGTTTCTACACGCAATATTATTGTAAATCCTTGTAAATGTATATAAGAAATTCCTTAAAATAAACTCTATGAGGCAATACCCAAGTACACGATGTTTCTTCTTGAAACTAGTTTATAAATCCACAATACAAATTTGAGCAATCTTTGCACACAATTATCCAAACTTGGCAAATATCTTCCCTTGAAGACCAAATAAGTAAACACGAATTACTTCGTTATATTAATCAATATTCCAAATTAATAACGTATTCCAATACAAAGTCAAAGATCAGATTTCTTAAACCAGGTACATATTATAAATATGTGATATATCCACAATGTAATGTTTACATACAATAGCCAATAAGCCCACAATTCCAAACCGTGGTTCCCGTATTTCTCGATTAAATACAACCAAATTTCAGACCAATTCGTCTGTAAACAATAAGGTACCTTCTTCCAAATCCGGAATGACACAATATCCAAACAATAATTATCTCCTTCCTGAAGACCAATCGTCGTTAACACAATTACACGCAGATTCCAAAAGGTTCTTAACTGTTACTGTCTTTGACTCCTCATCAAAGTGGACGCCACTGTCTTTCGCATATCATGTTTTTCAAACACACATCCAACGCTTAAACTCGAATATTTATGTTACTTTACTTTCCTTACATCTTGTTTACTTACTCTTTGTTTACGTTAAGAACCGTTTGGTTCTTCATGCACTAATAAATGTTTTAATATCAACTTATGGCGTCCATATTAATCGCCCAAAACCCCTCTAAACAACAATAAAATCTCGTGTTCTGTTATCACATGACCGGAAATAAATTTTCCCGGAAATGAATGTCCCCGGAAGACACGGTAGCCACAGGGAACGTTGATCTTCCGGAAAGGCTGAAACTACCTCTCAACTGTTCGAAATCCACTTGGTCAATTGGAAGCCACCTCTATGCAGAAGATTCTGTAACTGTTTAGAACACGTAATAGCATGAAGTACATCCGGGAATGACTTCAGCAGATCATGTACATAAAAATCTCGCCATACAGCATCGACCACTTCCCATGGGAAATCGCGCTTGTTGTCCTCTGCTGTCCTCCTCATTGCATATCCAGAGACACTCGGCGAGGATTTAGCTCTGAATATATGCACGAGCATTTGATATGTTCTCGGCTGAACATTGATATTCCCGTCGGGCCACCATAAATAACACAATGCGCCTCGGTCTTCGGGAGCACATATACTGGATGGAACATTCGTTTAATATCTGCAGCTACAGCTATTTCATCAACTCTGAAGCGTAAAATGACTCCGAAGAGTGAGCTTGTATTATCAGGACCTTGCAGGAGCTCGTGGTTCAATGATTTACCATTACATTCAGAGGCACAAACGAAGACGATCCTTGGCTCGTTCGGCTTTCTCGGGTGGTAGACTGCATGGTGCGGTAGGAACCATATAGGGTTTAACTTACGAAGGTCATCATCAGCTACAATCATCGACGCTCCTTCTTCCTCATAGCGTTTCATAACGGTTGTGTATTGCTCGCAGAGTTGCTCGTCCTTGACTAATCGTTTCTTCAGAAGGTTCAACCTCTTCACAGCAACTTCATAATTATCAGGAAGCTCGGGAACGTCATGGCGAAATGGAAGGCGCAACTGATAGTGTCCGTCTACCAAACGTGCAAATTCCTCCATTAGGCGTATAGCTTTGCGATCTTCGATTGAAGATGTTGGGTTGTGTTCACCAAAGTGCCGCCAAAATCTATGTTGTACATACACTTAATTGCTCATCAATACCAACATGTTCACTTTGAATGAAATTAACGAATGTGTCCTCGCTTATATCTCCTCCGTTGTCTGATATCGGGCCGCACACAGTCCATCCTAACGGAGTTTTCACAGCGTAGGGTTCACCCCTTCTACCTTTTCGTTTCTCGATGTCATTCTCAATCACATCTGGACGGTCCATACCAATCAGGATCTTAACTCTCTTGTCTTCGATCTGTGGCAAATGAATTCCATTCAGATGTGACCATTTGTTTACTTGCTCTTCAGTCGCGAAATGCTTTGTTGTTACCGAGAGCCGGTCTGTAGTCAGAACATTATTCAGCTCGAAATCTGTATCACCGTCTAATGAACTTATCTGCAAACAAACTCGATGTCCTTGTTTTACTCGCCTATCGTTCATCGTGACCATCGTATAATCCACTGCAGTACTTTCTAAGCCGAGCTCGTCTGCTAAAGTACTCAGACAAAGGGTAGTATCAGAGCCACTGTCTAGAAACGCGCAAGTGGTCACTTCCTTCTCACCGTTTGGACTTCGGATCTTGACAGGAACAACTTTAAAACAAACTCTAGGTTGGTTGACTCCGATGGTAGCGACCGTAGCGTGATTGTTGGCAGCGTCCACTTGGGAATTCAGGGCATTCTTTGCTGGAAAATTAGGATCAACATTCTCTATCTCAGGTTTGTCATTTCCAGGATCATCGGCATCATCCTTCTGTTTCCTTTCTTCCGGATGGATTAACCAATGGTGCTCTTTTCCACAACCTTTCTTTAAACAGACGAATTTCCTTTTGCATGATGCAGCAAAGTGGCCTTTCTCGAGACATCTTCTACAAAGCCGCTGCTGATTAACGACTTTTAGCTTCTCAGTTAATGTTGCAGCTTTAACCGTTCTCTTGCTGGAACATCAGGACGCCTAACTGGAACATGTGGGAAAGAATCTCTTGCTGGAACATCAGGACGGCTAACTGGGACGTGTGGGAAAGAATCTCTTGCTGGAACATCAGGACGGCTAACTGGAACGTGTGGGAAAGAATCTCTTGGGGCAGGACTAGGAAACGTATTCCTTGGTGGAATGCTCAAGGAGGGATCTCCAACAGGGATTTTGGACTCGCTTTCTGCCCCCGGTCGACATGGACTGTGAACTGTTGGGTTAGGTAAGCTCTAAGTGGTAACATATCAGAACTTATCTCGCTGATCGGCTTCTCTTTCACACTCCAAGCTGCGTCGGAAATATCACCAAAATTTTCCTCAAACCTCAAAAGTGTCACTGCTCTTTCCAGTTCTGTTTCTGCTTTCAACATCTCTAATCTTCTTTGAAGTTCTGCTTTCCCAGATATTTTCCCTTCTTCCATTTCTCCTAAACGTCTTTTGTAATCGGACTCTGTCCTTTCGAGTTGTTTCTCAATCAAAGAGGCTAACCTGTTTAAATAAAGTTTTCCAAAAAACCTGTCTTTGGTGAAGTTCTTTCATTTTCAAATTTGCTTCTTCCACATGAATTCTTCCACGGATTGCAGTCATCTTGGTTGAAGCTCTGCTACTCTTTTTACTCTTCCCAGAATGTGAGTGAAGGCTCACTGCAGCCTCCAATGAAGCTAGTTCTCCTCTATCTTTATTCAATCTTTTTATTGTCAATTCTAACCCATACTTCAGGTCTCTTTGACTTTTCTCATAACTTTCAATCTGGAGACTATTTTTGGTTTCATCATCTTCAAATGTCAAATACTGTTCATGGATATCTACAAATTTACAGAAGGCTCGCTCGTAGTTCTCAACTTCTCTATTAAGCACTTCAATATTTGTGTCCTCATTCAACAACTCCTTCACAGCGGAAAATTTATTCCTGACATCACCCAGATGACCAGCTCTTTGTCGTCTCAATTGCAGCGCTCTTTCTCTCCTAATATTCTGCTCATCTAGTCTTGCATCCAGACGTGTATTTAGCATTTTCTTTGAATGATGTTAGGGCTACCGTATTTGCTTCTCATTTAGACAAATAAAATTGCTTCTCATTTAGACAAATAAAAAGGCTGAGGCAATTCTTTTATGCGATATATTCCTAATACGATTCACTATACAAAGTATACAAATACAAGTAAATTATTAGCAATAAAACTAGACAAAATACAGCACAAAACAAAAATACACTTACAAGAAAATATGCCTCAATAACAAAATTGATCTTGAACTTCAACAAATAAACTTGACTCATGACTACTAACTTAAAACAACTAACTAAACTAATATAATAAATAACACATTTTTATAGTAATTTTGGCTATTTTGGTCAGTGGACTAATGTTTATCTAGTGTCGCACTTCATGTAACCACAGACTTTACACCGACTATTGCAAATAAAAATGTTTTGAATATCGTTTGCAGCTTTAATATGCTTTACACTGGCTGGATTTACAAATTACTTTGTTTTTCTGTTATATACGACATTATACGCGAAGCAATTTATAAAATTAAAAGTCATATACTGGTAAATATAATCCAAAAATGATCAACGTTTTCTTTTTAGAGCAAAAATTGACAAAAAGAACAAAATGAGGTTGTTTTACGTAGAAGTGCAAAAAAGAAAAAAGGCACGAAAAAAAGGCGCGAAAAAAAGGCGCAAAAAAAGGCTTGAACTTCTTTCAGGTATATTAGTTATTTTATTCATAATTAGCAGTTGACCTGGGGTAGTACATGGTCATTTTCTTGTGCTAGAAATACATACATGCAGTAACCCCTCGCCTATACTTTCCACACATTGACTTACATGAAGTACTGTAGTAGAATTGATCAACACTGAACGCAGGCTCGCGTTTACGTCAGTGTGGCCATGGCAACACAACAATTTTAATTTTTATATTTTTCGAACAATACGCCAAAAATAGTTGAAAGATTGTTGCTTTTAACTATATAACAATGAACTTCCGAATTATGTGCTGTAGGTGTGTTATTTTGCATTTTGGGAGCTTTGATTTAATGTAAAATTTAACCTGAATCACTTGGTAAAATGTTTTGAAATGTTCGTTTTATAAATAACTAAACTGCTTTTGTCGTCTTTGCCGATAAGTGAACTGTTTTACTTTATAATAAAACAAAATAAGTTCAAGTTGTGGAGCAATTTCAGTTAGGTCTTCAAATTAATTTGCTCTCCTTTACATTTTACCTTTTTTTCTTAAATTTAAACATGGTAATTTAAGAAAGTACAGCTTGATTGAAAGGGAAAGCAGTGCATGTTTTACGCATTATAAATATTTCACACAATTAGCTTTGAAAGAGATCAGCGAGGAGGTCCACCCATGAACCATATTCACGCGCCCGCGATCATTGATGAACTTTAGACTTCGCTAATGCTTTCCTTTCCCCGGGTGTAAATAACAGGGCGGAATTAGTACCCTTGCCCCGGGGCTGACGCCCGGAACGGCGCTCCGCGCCGTTAGCTCGGGAAAAATATTATACTTAGACAAATTTTTCCTTCCAACAACCACTAAAAGCAACCCTTCTATACACAATAAGCACTTCAGAAAGGCTGTCGCTTTTCCTTTTCCGAAGTTAAAGCTATATTGGCAGGGTGGGGGCCGTTTCAGGGCGGGGTGATTTCAGGACTTTCGTACACGATTCAGGTTTTGGCACACATGTGCCATGTTGACCGCAATTATAGAAATTGAAATGCTAAATCAAGTGTTAATTTGGCACGTATCACAATCTATACTCTTGTTACTTCCTTAAAGATAGCACAGACCACAGCATCATGTTTACAGCAAAAACTCACATCTTTCTTATTAGCTTGATAGAATTTCAAAGCTAAACTATAAAAATCCTTAGCTGATTTAAAATGACCCAATGGTGCTGCATATCTTGACACGTTTAACCTAGGAAGGAAAGACTCGTATATAATTACACTGCTTTACTAAGTAAATGTCTGGAGGGTGTTGTTATCTAGCAAAATAATTACAAAATCTTGTTGAAAATGCCCCTGTAAAAAATACTTAACATATTAAAATAAGTACTAAACATTTAAATAATAAATAAAATTAATATTAAAAACATTACCCTAATGTGTCATAAAGTATATGTTTAAACTCCATGCTATCCATATACATTACGCATGGTCCAACAGCTCCTGGAAGATAAAAATCCTAATTATTAATTCTTCAAGATAAGGGGTATTTAATCTATAACTCGAAACCTAGAAAAGGATATTTAGTTTACCAACTTAAATTAAGAACTGATTTGTGTGATTAAAAAATATAGAGAAAACAAAAGTTTTGTCTTGTACAATGCTTACTTTGTACCCATCTTCAGGGAATTTAGTGTGAACGAAGTATATGTAATTACATTAAAAACTATATAAAATTATATAAAATAACAAAAGAAAATTTAATAGGGAATAACTTTTATGGCGCTTAGGGCATCCCAATAAACAGGGAAAAGTTAAAAACTACTTAAGTCATCGCTAGTTTTAACCCTTAGCAACTTATAGGTTGGAACCTGGTTAACTTTCTGATACAATATTTGGGTTGTGCATAAAATTGGTGTGGGTATGATCAAATGTGCTTTAAATCAAGCATTACGCTTACCTAATTACACTTACTTGGCCTAGCCTATTTTATCTTTACAACAATTGTGAAATCACTTTCTAACTGTGTTTATCCTAACCCACCCTGTCAGATTTCCCTCTGGAAGAAACAGGAGCACCAGAGAAAGCCCACGAGCGTTGACTGACTCTTTTCACACAAGTCCGTTTTGCGAGAATCGAACCCACAAACGCAGAGGTGAAAGGTGCTTGCAGTAAACAATAAGTGCTCATTTTCAAATACTGCTTAGCATGATAACAGCATCCCTGTCTCCCCACCCTGGACAATGCTGGGTTATTGGATAACAACGCTTTGTCTACATAACATTGAACGGGGCCATGTGGGTCAACTATATTGTAAACATGTTCTTTCTTCCAAAGAGGCTTTCAGGGTCAATTTATTTAGAAAATGCATAACTACGCTACAGGAAAAAGACATAAAAGTAACTGCTAAAATTCGATGCACTGGTGCAGGAGAAAAGGGAAGGGAAATTGGGAAAAACCAATTTGTCAGCCAATATGTAGGGGGTTCAAATTTCTAGCCTTAATTTTGTGATAAGACAAATGGTTCTAATTTCACATTTGTGACTCTACTTAAACATTCGGAAGTAGAGCCAGACAGATGATTTTCATAATAAAACCGCAATAACCTGCCATGCCATTCTTTATTATGCGAAATGAACGGAATATAATTTAGACAGTCTTAGCTGTATAAATTTTGTCAGGATTTCTCTGGAGGGTGCGCAGAATATCCGTTATTTTCCTTCATAAAGAGCGAAAATTTTCAACTAACTGCTATATCTCAAGAAAGAAAGAATTTACAATAGAATCATTGAATGCCATCCTGTATTTAACCCATTGAGTGGCAGCACTCTCCCCCTGATGAGTAAAATCGTCTGGCGTTAGACAAACTAAAATAATCTGGCGTTTAGACCAAGTAATAGCCTATAATAATAAAAGTAGGACGCATCTGGGCGCATTGCCACTTAAACGGTTAACAGAGTGCATGGGCAGATAGTCTGATGAACCCATTGAGTGGCAGCACTCTCCCCCTGACGAGTAAAATCGTCTGATGTTAAAAAGAGTAAAATAGTCTGGCTAGACAGAGTAAAATAATGAAGTAGGGCGCATCTGGGCACCTTGCCACTAACCTGCAATCAGGTCTATATAGATAAATAAATAGGCCTGATACAAAACTTAACAAAAGTCCATGCCTTACAACGGTATTTCCGTAAATCTAATTGGTCTATGAGACAAAAGATTTTTTAATCTGTCATTTGATTGGTTGCTGCTAATTAGATTATACTATTGTTGATAATATATTTTATAGTGATCACAACTATAATTAGATTGTTGTTGTCGTTGTGTGAAATTTAAATTATTCCTGCGACATTTTGATTGGATACTAAATATAAACTTTGCTGCGGGTGGAAAGGTATCGCACTAATGTTTGTGTCAGGCTAGATTTGTAAAATAAAGCCTAATCTCAGGTTATATTGCCACTTAAACGGCTAACAGAGTGCACGTCTGATTAACCCAATGAGTGGCAGCACTCTCTCCCGGATTAGTAAAATCGTCTGGCGTTAGACAGAGTAAAATAATCTGGCATTAGACAAAGTAAAACAATAAAGTAGGGCACATCTGGGCGCATTGCCACTTAAAGGGTTAAGAAATAGAAAACGAGTTGTGTGAGTTTATGGTGTGAGTTAATGCGCATTATTTCTTGGATTCTGATAAATTTTGTATTTTAAAAACTCTATAGTTTTCTTTATATTTTTGGCTGAAAAGCAGAGATGAAGCAGGAAAACACAGTTTGGAGAATTGGTCAACATCTTCATGCCTTCTTTTCAACCAAGACAAATGCAAATGTCAGCGTGCAACAAGGAAAAGAAATCCTATCATACATGAGTACAAGATCAATAGCAAGTCCCTGGTGGTAACCGAGGGACTTACTATAAAACTGGTCTTACTATACCCGCGATCGCTGTGCAAAAACAAACAAGATGTTTTGTTTCCTGCATAGGGCTGCAAAGGAAATTACAGATGTCAAGATAAGCCCTACCCTGTACCTATCAATTGTTAGCTCATGCAACGTTAGGTTACGCTACTCATGCAGGTCTGGTTACCACAATCGCTCGGCTTAATTACAAGCACAGAGCGCATCCAACGACAAGCTACAAAGTTCCTTTTTAAGTTACCAGTCGTGTACACATGCAAACGTACAAATACAGACTGATCTCCTTAGACTTACTACCAATCACCTACTGGCACGAGTACCTTGACATTATGTTTTTCTTTAAAGTTATAAACAACATATATTATAATCATCCGGGCTCACTATAACCTGGGTTGATAAAAACGTACTCCCGTTCCATCCTCGCATATGTAAAACGCTGACATACCAACGCTCGTTCTTCGTCAGAGTAATAAGAACTAACAATTCTCTGCCAGAAGATCAAAAGAAAAAGGATTTATTGCTAGCACGATTTAGAACATTATTGCTGCACTACTATCACAACGCTGCCAAGACAATTTAGGATGTGGAGGAAGCCAGAACGTCGAGAACAGTTTGCCTGAAATGTAACACATCACGCAAACTCATGCAGCCATTGACGTGCTGCTATATATTACTACAAGTATATACACTATCAATTATCAGTTACAAGTTATATATTAGTTGTGTGTTTCCTATATCCAATGGCCAACAGTAATCGGTTCTAAGCTGTTGTGGTGTCTCCGCGTTTTTGTTCTTGTTACCTTCTTGTTCAATTAACCTAGAAACGTGGGAGGCTTGGCGCATTTGCTGCGTTTCGATATGATTTGTCCAGGTCCATGCCAGGTTTTTGAGCAATTTTCCGTATTTTAAAATGAAGGTATATGATTATAAAAATGTAATCCGTCCTAGTTTAGCGATCAAGGGTACATGTTTTTGTTTTACTTTCATTTGCGTTGACGTTTTCCCATTTTGGGTTGAACAGGAATGGATGTAGGTATGTGTTGTTCGATTGACAATGTGTAATTATAGGCGAAGCTAAATAAATAAACTTACCCCTAGCTCAAAATATAAAAAATCTACAGGCATGCATGGTTATATATAAATCATATGAATTTAACTTCTTACCAAGTACGCAATACAAACGTGAAACAAGCAACTTCAACTGAATGTTTGATGGACTGCTTTTTATAGCACTTTCAAGTGTTATTATAACACGATGCCAGGATCTTGAATGGCCTAGTAATTAAAATTAGAACAATGATCCTTGCATGTTTGGTTTAAAAAAAATGTTTTAAAAATCCACTTGATTAAAATGCTAAAGGCCTAAAACCTTAGAGGTCTAAAATCTTAGTTAAAACATTAAAATCATACAAGTAATTTACAAACTATCAACAAATTTTGTTCTTCCAATTTGTATTTGTAAATAGTAAGATTTTAACTAAGGTTTTAGATTTTTAGTAACAATAAGACAGTGTTGAAAGAGAAATATAGACATTGATGTCGTCCAAAAGCGCAAATTTATCGAAATGTTTTCTTGCTTAAACTAAAGAGACTTTCAATAGTTTTAAAGGCTTTCTTGAAGACTAACTCAGGGGCGTTTATATGGTCCCGATTACCTGGGATTCAAAGAAGTGTGAAGTATTTTAAGTATAGGTAATAGCATGGTTTCGAGTGCAATTTGGATATAAAATGCACGAGTGAGTTTTTCAAAGACCTCAGAATAGCACGAGTCACAAACTCACGAGTGCATGTTTATCCAAATTTCACGGGAAACCATGTTATTACTTATTAATAATTTACATAAAAATGTTCGAGACAATTGTAGTTTTCTTCCGTTTATAGCGAACATTCCACTGGCAAAGTTTTCCTGGCTTTGTTATATCACATTATACAACGCTAACAGCTTAAAAATTCCACTCAACTATGTAATTTTTGTTAGTCTTGTTTAAGGTAAATGCTTTTCCATGTTTGTTTTGTTTGGAAGCAATCTGTGACCGTTTACTTTTTAAACTAAACTGCTTTAAACTGATTGGTTGATTTTATCATCACAATGTTTTCCCACCAATCAGATCAGTTTGTTACAGATTTCTGCACGCACTGTTGTTACAGATTTTTGCACTGTTATTACAGATTTTTGCACTGCTGTTTGGGATTAAATGGACTGAAACCAACCAATAACAGTCGAGTAATATTTCTATGTATATTATTAGCAATTGAAATAAGTCGCACTTCATGACTAACAAAATTGCTGTAAAGATACTTCCATGTTCCCACAAGACTTAAGTTATTAAACAGACAAAGTATCACAATTTTATAGCAAAACACATGGTTTAAGAGTAGTATACAAAAGTGGGGCTCTGGCGTGGGTGGTGCACAAAGCACCACCCATGACGTCATCATGGCGTCATTTCGCATTGGTCATGTAGTTTTAATCTAATTAAGCAGTCGTTGACTATAAATTACATGCCATTTCAAGAAAATATTCACAGTTTTCTATTTAAAGAGTGTCCTGGAGTGACTTTTTGTTTCCCGGAAGTCCCTTTAATTGTTTACCGTTTGTGAAATTTGCCCCTGTGGGACTTTTTTATCAGGGATGTTACAAAACGGGATTACACCTCATATCGTCACGCTTATATGGCGTTATCCCCCTCCCCCAAACCAATGCTTTCCAAAAGAGAAGCAACCCAAAGAAGTGACGGCAGTGAATAGGTTTAGAACCCTTACCAAATTTTAAAGGAATATAAAAATCGAGACATATATATATGGTAAATTTAAACAGAAATTAGGCTTTATTTCACTCGGCGAGCTTGAGACAGAAAAAATAAGCCATGTTAACTTGTGCTAAGCAACTGATTACCTCTGTTTAAATTTACCATATATGCATCTCGATTTATTTATTCCTTCAAAATTTGGTCCCGGTTCCAAACCTATTCACCTACCATAACTTCTTTAAGTTGCTTCTCTTTTGGAAACATTAGTTTGAGGAGATTAACGCCATAAGCGCGAAGATGAGAGGTGTAATCCGGTTTCGCGACCTCCCGGATAAAAAAATCCCACAGGGGCAAATTTCACAAACACGCAGTAAACAATTAATTTAAAGGGAATTCCGAGAAACAAAAAGTCACTTCGGGGCACTCCTTCAAATAGTAAACTGTGAAACTTTCTTGAAATGGTATGTAATTTATAGTCAACGCTTGTTTTATTATATTATAACTGTAATCGTAGGGTTTTTCTGAGTTCACTATAAAATGGCTTTTGATTTCCATTGTTAAAATATGGTCCAAAACCTATAGCAGAAGCATCTCAGTATTTTCGAAGAATGGCATGTGTTCTAGAAGCTAGCGAATTTTTTTTAAGAATATAGCAATTTGATGGGGGAGAATTTTCGACTCGAAGTGCTTGTGCCGACGGACAGCGATCGGAAATCGCTTGCCTTTATCATATATTATGCATAACTAGCAGCGGCCGGAACCATCGAGTGCAAAGTCTGGGGAAAAAATATTAGTCCAACAAAAGAGGAATAAAAAAGAACAAACACTCACTGCACACACTATCAAACAGGCAAACAAATTTCAATTTAAAATATATATTTTATGACATACATACATACACATTTTATTTATGTCATACATACGCCAACCCCCTTTTGTATACTACTTTCAAGTGTAAAACCGTGGATATAAAAGACCTAGTTTGCTGTCTCGCTGAAGAGGCGCGCCAAATTTGAAAATCCAAGAATCTTAATACCTTTTCTTCGACGCTTGAAATTTGCAAAAATAGAATGAGTATTGAGTGTATTTATAACTAAAGAGTGTCGCAGTTAGTACACTCTCTGAATGATCAAAACCATTTATTGTAAACAGTTCGGAAACTCTCGTAGATGTGCGAGCTTATAGAGCCTGTTGTGAACCGTCCACTGTATATAATGATATAACTAAACCTGTTGCCGGCAGCATGTGGCGACTGCTGTTCCAATAGACGCCAAAAATGAATCAATCAGATGCATTTAGTCAAAAGAAAGTGTAAACGAAAAATATGAATCACATTATAGAATAGATTAATATATTAATATAAGTATACAGAAAACTACAACAGATACAAAGAAATATATATAGGGAACAAGAATGGAATAAGGTGAGAATAAAAAATACTGCCAATGTCTGCTTTCGACAGCGAAGGACAGACAGAGTTAAACGTCGGAAGAACATTATTATAATTCATCCTGAACACAAACCATTGGTGAATAATTATTCCTTAACACAGGTCTATTTTTAAGAAAAAAAATAGAATAAAAACACCATAAATAGATTTTAGAATAGCTTACGTCACACAATTTTTAATACAGCAGACTTCTGGAATGTGCAGTGCATTGTGGGATACTTTCAACCTCGTACCCAGGGCTTCTGCGCTTTTTGTCATCAGAAGCCCTGGGATAACCCCCAGAAGCGAAAGTGAACAGTAGCTCCAGCTAAAAACGCTGATTGGGCATATTATTACGCAACGAGTGAGAATGCTTATTTGTTGCAATTTATGATAAATTTGGACTTTCTTGGAAAAAAACGGCAATCTTTATTACGTGAAGATGGAGTAACAAACGTTGTAAACAATAAAATTGGTTAATTCCAAGAAATAATACAAAATGAGGCTTAAAGACAGTTCGATACTAAAATTATTTAAAAATTTGGACTTGTAAAGACGTCTTAAACTGCTTCTCGTGTACCTTTCGGAGTTTACAGACAAGAATGATCAACTTATAGAGATACAATTATACGTAAAATAAGCCCTTTGGCGAGCAGAAGAACATCTTATACAAAAGCAGCAATACTTAGTCAGCGATATACAGAGGGGCGATATAAAGTATAAATACTTAAAAACACGTAAAACCTTCGCTATTTCAAAGTGAACAAACTACAAATCTTACTAGTAACATGACTGGTGGCCAGATTTAACTAAGACACAACATATACTGTAAACCTACAAGGCTGTATCTACTTGAAGAATGTAAATGAACAGTGTGATATAATTCTGTACTTATTCGGAAAACCTATCGACAAATCTTGAGAATAATGGCTTGGGAATGTTGAAAATTAAAAACTATCAGATAGCTGGTTAGGAGCATATATATATGTCATATATGATGAAACCCTAACTTTTGTTAATTGCCAAATGAAGTACATTTTAAGTAGAGAGTACATTTTAAGTAGAGAGCACTGGTGCTCAATAGATTATCTCATAAGGCACACTAGTTTGTTAACCTACTCTGCCTAAACAGGCTAAAACCACTGCATGGCAATGGAATTGAGCAGTGACGTAGCCAGGATTTCAAAATATAGGAAGACATAAAATTCCCATTACAAAACAGTGTATTAATTGTTAAAATGTATTCAAGCTGTTAATCCTTGGACACGCATGGGAGGGGAAATTTTGGAGAAAGAAAAATTGCGACAATCTGGTTGGGGGGGCCACCTGTAGGACTGACTGATTTTGGATTCAGGTCATCTGATCTGTCGTGGCAATAACTCATTAGCTTAATGATTACTGAACCTTGAACATTTAAATACTAATTTTCTATAGGCATTGTTTCGGTACCTTTTATAAGTCAAAGTAAAGCGGTAGATTAGTTGTTGTTGTAAAATATTTCGGCACGTTTTTTACCGTTTCTTACTTGTAAACTGAAAACGTTCAACAAATATAAATCAGTAAGTGGTACTTGAGGAACAAACCAAAATTAACGTGTATATAGCGGAAACGGCATTAACATTAGTAGAAAAATATAACTGTAAACCGAGGCAACAGCCTAGATGTGCAACGCTGATTACAATGTCAAACGATAAAATGTCGACCTATAAAATCGACTGAGATGAACGTTGAACTTGTAGGTAGTGGCGACGAAGAACGAAACCGAAGACTACGGAAACCTACATCAAAGGGGAAAGCTTATACAATGTACAACGAAAGCACAAAACCTGTAGGAAGCACATAAACATGATAGAGTTAGTTACTTGTAGCTATATGATAATTGCCATGTTATTAAGCAAGAGTTGGATGTACTTGTCGCCTTAGACACCAAACAAAGAGCAATGTCTTGTTACCGAGAAAGAAAATTTGAAAATTTGACTTGGTGTGGAGCGGTTAAAGAATTACGGACATCGAATGAACCTCAGCAATGTGATAGAAAAGAGTTTATGAACGCTGGAATCGATATACTCAGTGTGATAATTCAGTGAAACGCAGTTTATTCAAACAGAACTCTACCGGACAAGCGCTTTTACTCTTCTGGTGGACAAAGGAATACATTGGCTCAAGTCCCGATAAAGTTATTACCATTAAATGAAACCGCCGCTGGGGGAATAATAACAAGATCGATAGGCTAAACACGAAATCAACAACCGTCGGCTGATATCATTCCATGTATCAATGCGCATGCTTTAAGTGAAGTAGACTTGCTCCAAGTCTCTTTTTCATTGTCATATAGTATCGATCCAATATAGTGTACATTACATGACGTAGTACGGAGGGGCGGAGCGAGAAAGAGAGACTTGTCAACTTCGGAAAATCTCGGTTCAAAACTGAACCGAAAATGCAATACTTGCTTTAATTGTTTTCCTTCAATTTCTTTCTGTATTATTTACTATTATGGAACTCATGTTATTTACACTGTGCTAGATCAATACATATAAACACTGACAGTAAACATTAAAGCAAGTCTTGCATTTTCGGTTCAGTTTTGAACCGAGATTTTCCGAAGTTGACAAGTCTCTCTTTCTCGCTCCACCTCTCCGTGCTACGTCATGTAATGTACACTATAGTGGACCGATACTATATAACAATGAATGATAGACTTGCTCCAAGACTTGTTATGCGCTAGAGCTGCAACGCTTGAAAGAAAACAGAAACTTGAGAACGAAGCGGGAAAATACATTTGGAGGAAGAAATCGCGATAGTCGAGAAGAAATGATTTTCAAGTTTGAGCAAGAGATGAGCTTGAAAGACGGTATGAATCAATATTACGAACAGTACATGAAATCAAACTCAATGCCCTATGACCTAATAACTCCGTCCTCTGCAGCGAATACTCCTGTCATATCATCGGCGACGCACATTCCTACGACGTAATTCCTTCCGAATATTTCTTGCACGTCATTCGTTCCGAATATTCCGCCTACGTCATTTGCCCCGAATATTCCTTCTACGTCATTCGTTCCGAATATTCCTTCTACGTCATTCGTTCCGAATATTCCTTCTACGTCATTCGTTCCGAAAATTCCTTCTATGTCGTTCGTTCCGAATCTTCCGTCTACATCGTTGTCCCAAATATCTCTGGAACAGAACCGATTCAGCATCACCTGTTATTTCCTCGTCATGCCCTGGTTTGCGTCATACCAACCCTGGTCCTCGTCTGCCGCCAAGAGTCTCTAGTACACCCTGTGATCAAACCATTTCTATGCAAGCAAGGACCAGCAATGAACCATCCGTTGTCCATCAAACATCTTTTGAATCAAGAATACCCGTCCCAACCATGTGCAACCGGAGGCATGGGAACAAGCTACTCAAGTGTTGATTCCAAAAACCAATTAAGATCGATTTGGTGTGTTAATCGAGAAGCAATGCAATCTCACCGAGATGATCATGCAACAAAATGAACAAAAAGTCTCATTCCACGTCTTGCATTGTCTAAGTTCTCTGGAGACCCCACAGAATACAATATTTTCATTCAAGGATTCAACTCGCAGTTCCATAATTTTCATTCAAGGATTCAACTCCCAGTTCCATCAGATCGTTTATGATATCTAGATCAGCACCTCAAAGGCGAAGCAAAAAAATTGGCTAAAGGATGTCGTTACATGGATCCTGACATTGGTTATGCAGAGGCAAGAAGGCTCATTGATGAAAAATATGGTGATCCGTACAACACTTCTAATGCATTCATTAAGAAGATGACTGAATGGCAATGCTTAAACCTCGTAACGATGATGGCTTAAACTGTTTTTCTACCTTCCTAGCGCAGTGTTGCAGTGCTATGAAATCGTTGTCGTATTTAATCATCCACACAACTCGCAAACCTTGGCCAAGAAGTTACCCTTCCACCTCCAAGACTGATGCAAACGTGTCGCAAATAAGGCGAGAGTTGGACATAGGAATATGCCAACCTTCGATTTGTTTGCTAATTTCATTAAAGACGAAGCTGAAGTGGCAACAGATCCAATCTTTTCTCGAGAAGCTCTGAGAGTTCAAAGTTCTGATGGAGTAAACAACAAACGCAAGCCCCCAAATTATAAAGTTAGACCTAACCCAAGTAAAGTGGAACCATGTATCCTCTGTAAAAAGGAACATCACTTGGACGATTGTGATAAATATTTCTAGAGAGCATCGATGAAAGACGAAAATTCCTTGATGAGAAACAGTTATGTTAGATCATATTACATGCCTGGTCATAGATCTAGAGGTTGTTCTTAAAACAGAACATGTAAGACTTGTTCAAGCCGCCATTCTACTGGTCTAAAACTTTCAGTCTATTGTAAAGAAGCCTGCGAACGATGTTGTGAAGAATGTGGAATCAGCAACCTTGACAACCATTACTGTAAACAGTATCAAGTAGGAGGATGACTGTCGGATCCATGCCGATAGTACCAATTATTGTTGATAACATATGCGATGCTTGAAACTGCAGCACCAGTACGTTCATTCTAGAAGATCTGCGACAAGAGCTTAACGTAGATGGAGTGGATTCACAAGTTTCAATAACAACTATGACTGGTAACCAACTACAAAACGTGGAAGTGATAAGAGGCTTGACTGTATTTGACCTGGACGGCAACAATTCCATTTCTCTACCTAAAGCTTTTACCGAGCTCGAAATGCCCGCAACCAGTCAAGATATTCCCTGACCAGAGCAAGCGTGGAAATGACCAGTAACAACATCTGGCACGTCTAGCCGATTGTGTCCATCCATTAATACCGAATGTCAAGATTGGCCTCTTAATAGACACTTCCCGAATTTGCTTGAGTGCACACGAAACAATAGCTTGGAATCGAGGCGGACAATGTAATCCATTGGAAATAAGTATAGTTTTCCAATGGATTACATTGTCCGCCTCGATTCCAAGCTATTGTTTCGTGTGCACTCACGCAAATTCGGGAAGTGTCTATTGAAAAAAAATTGCCTCGATATGCTGTTCAAACACTTGCTGGTTAGACTATAATTGGGCTATATCATATGTCAAGCAATGGTCCTGCAACGGTTAATTATAATAGGATTGTTGCAAAGGAAATTCGTTCCGGAGTACCAATGGATCATCATTTCACGGTTAATCAAATGATGAAAGAGGTCCTTACACCAGCAGCAATAAACAGAATGATATAAATTGATTTCAGCAAAAGAAAAGTCAGTAATGAACATGGTCTTTCTCAAGAAGACCAGCAAGGAACCAAAAAAATCGAAGGCCACAATAAAATACCATTGGACAAAGAAGAGATTCCTAAAAGATAATCGTCTACACAAGCAATACACAGAGTTCATGAATAATATGCTTGCCAAAAAATTTGCAATAAAAGCTCCATTAAACGCTAGGGGTGCAAAGAAAGGCAAAGTATGGTATTTTCCGCCCACGCAGTATATCAATATATAACAATAGTCAATACTATGTTTAACCACAGGTTTAATTCTTGTCATTAATCTGAAACAAAAATCCTGTCATTTGGAGAAGCCACAATATTTGCTGAGAAATAATTAGCCAACCTCGTTCCCAGGCTCTTCCCTCTTGTTGGAGGAAAGACCCTGGCTAGGGCTGGTCACGTGGCACGCAGATTCTGCGTGCTAAAATAAAATTGTCATTAGGGTAGAGTGGCAGGGGAGCGCGTTTGGAAAATGACAACTTGTGTAGTTGTGTATATTATAGTTTTGGATAATAAAATTTAAATTTGCAACAAGAAATCCTGAAAGATTTCGTATTTATTATGACACGACTTCGTCCTTTGTATTATTGAGTGTTGGGTTACACTACTCAAACGAGAAGTTGGATCAAATTTCAGTGGACACAAGGCTTTTGGCAAGGAAAGCACGCTTCGCTATAAAAACAGTAAAACACAATCTATAAGTGTAAGAATCTTCTAGATCGATCGAGCAAACGATGTGGTTACGTTGTGACTGTTGTCAGTGATAAAGGGTTTCCTGTCCGATACGTAAATCTAACGGATTTACCTCACGGATAGAGGAGATGTGGAATTGCCATAAAATAACGAGATCCTATCATCGTGCCAACTGTGTGTAAATTCTAAACATGCTCTCCCGACTGTTAGAGCCCGTTAAAGACTGTGATATATGCCGTTTTGGCCATCGCTAAGACTCCATGATCAAGAATATATTATGTTCAAGTATAGCTTTCTGTTATCAAACGTGTATCATCCGATGCAGGCAAAGTCAAAGACTCGTCCGTGCGTGCGTTACAACTTGAATATTATATTTATTTATAGTATTGTATAATATGCGGATATAACAATTATTTCACATTTATTACAGTAATATACACTCGCACATTATAAATATTATATAAAGTGCTTTCATTGCCATTGGTTTTGTGGCTGAACCTATCCAGAATATCCTAAACTTTAGTTCGTAGAGTTGCATGAGATCCAGCTTCAGTGGCGGCGCCAGGCCTCCGAATTTGGGGGGATTTGAGGGGCAAACTCATATTTGGGGGGGGGGGCAAGATAGAATTCTTAAAATTTGGGGGTGGGGCGAATACCCTAGGAATAACGCCCCCCCCCTTTACTCTTTAGGATATTCGCACCCCATATATGCGATGTGGTTTATTCAAATAATTTCGTGATACTTTCATCTTATTAGTGCCTTACACGTTTTTGTCTTTTTTGAAACGTATCATTGGAGTATTGGCAAGTTTTACCATTCAGAGATTTACAAACTAATACTGAAACTGTAAAAAACAGTTTCATGTATACGCGCATTCACTAATGACAACATATAAGCCATACATTTTCCGATAACGACAAAACGCTTGTGCAGCCTTTAGTCGCTCTTAATGACTAATGATTTTCTTTGGGGGGGGGGGGAGGGGCAAAAAATAATTTTGGGGGGCTTGCCCCCTTGGCGCCGCCACTGTCCAGCTTGTATTTTTAAAATAAACGCATACTGCCCTGCTGTGAGACATCAATATAATTATTGTCTTTTTAGAATTAAATGTACATTTAGCATACAACTATGCCTCACTGGAGACAAACAGCCAATCAATAGAAATTTTAAAATGCTTATACAAACTCATCAAGTAATGCTGTCTGTGCGAGACTTTGTCGTGCAAACAAGAAAGGCGTACGTACAGTAATTGTCTTATAATTCTGTAGTGTGCATTTATACCAAGTATTGTACCTTCCTACAGTACCTATAGTGTTTAATATAAATCATCGCAATACTTTTAATTTAATAAAATCAATAGCATATAAACAGGCAATAAAGTTAAATTATTTTAGAATCAATAGAATGGACATTCAATGTCTGTTTGGCTAGTGTGCAAATGTGCAACGTCTGCCGTCCGAACGTCCTAAACATGCAGTCGCTCTTGAGACCTGAACTGAAATTAACAAGTATAAAATCTATGCAAAGTTTATACCATTTCCAAATAACAACAATTTAGTGACATATCATAAAATTTTAAAAATAGGTGAACGAGATGCCGAACAGAAACGTGTGAAATAAAAGTGCGCCCAAGCCCGAGAACATAAGAACTATTTCAAATCATACGTTCATACGTTTTTATTGCTTGATTTCCTGACTTGTCTGTTGCTATAAAAATCTGTTTAGCATATTGTTATAATTTAAAAGCAAACACAAATCAAATTTGGCAAGTATTTTGAAGAATATATGATTCTCAAAGTTGATCGGTACAAAACACTCACTCCTTGCAATAGAAGTGTAAAGTGCGAAAGTGGAAGCATGTAATTCCATACTTTGCCTACCCCCCCTTGGCCGATCAAATTTCCGTGTGACACGTGACCAGCCCCAGCCAGGGTCTTTCCTCCAACAAGAGGAAAGAGCCTGGGAACGAGGTTGATAATTAGCCTGGTTAGTAGGCTCATGGGAGAACTGCCACACAAGCTAGGAAATAATATTTTGACTATTCATTTAATATTTGTGTTATGAACAGTCTATGGTAAATAACAGATAACAATGTTTGTGCATTAGCAGCAGTGATTGCTAAATTATTTACACTGAATCTCTGGTATAAAATTAAACAATTTGTCGACAACTTAGGCTACGTTTACACTTACAGGATAGCTTTCCGTAGCGGCGCGAAAAAGCACCTATCCGATACGGAATGTACAACTTTCAGAAGCTGAGCGAAACAACATCTCTCCGTTGCAAATAGCTGTCTGAAAATAGCGTTCTAAAAGGTACGGATAGCTGCTTTTCATGTCGCTACGGAAAGCTAACTGGTACAAGTACGAAGCATTGCACCCAGCATCCTCAAGTTGGAGATAATTTGCAAATGTAAATATTTGTGTATATTTTATCCTATTCCAATACAAAATGCCATAATATAGAACACAACAGCCAAATAAAGTATCAAAAACGTTTTTGTAATATTTACATGGTTGAAGTTGCAGATTTATACTTCACTTGGAATTTGTGAACAAGAAATTTTTCGCTTTATTAGATTAAATGTTTTACTTTGTTCGCCATTTAGCCATTCTTGCTTATTATCTACAAATAAAAATAGTTCACTTCTTCTTTTGCTCTTTTCAAACCAGTCCAAAATTTGGTTTAAAAGGGTATTTCCATCCAAAAACTCGCATTTAACTTTCACATGCACTCCTTGTGATGGCAGCAGTGTTGCCAAAATGAACAAACAAAAATGAATAACTTTTGGTAATTTCATTGTATTCGCCTTAACCAAACAACTCACGTTCTCAGTTGGATTATCCCAGGGTACGAGGTTGGGATACTTTTGGCTCAATAATTTATTGTTTGAAAATTATGTGACGTCAGCACTTCTCAGGTCCATTACATACCTGATCTATCACAGCAATCCAACAAAAGATGTGCAGCCAGTAATGCAAAATCGTCACTGTGCTGAAAATCAGTTGGGAGCAAGTCGTTTCCTGCAACAGAATTTTTGGAACATTTTCAAAACAGGCTATCATGCTTTAAGCACAAAAATACTGATGGGAGTTTGGTTTCTAATGTGGTACAAGCCACCACCACACTGTGACTTTAGCCTTGAACCTGGAACTAGCCTGTGTTAGTTTTACAATATATTTTCTCAAATTCCGTATCGATTTCTCGCCAGTCATGCGAGATATGGACTATTTAAACTTCCAGTGTGCAAGTTTACTAACCCAAGAGTGGGTTAGTGACATAGCGAGCTTAACCAATCGGGGTGAAGTCTTCTTAATTCGTAACAATCTCGAAACCAGAGCCCGCAATCCTCTGTGGAGGCTTGCTGAGGCTCTGGGAAACACCGGCGACTTTTGCACGAAAATTAGTACATTTGGATCCAGTACTCCGCTCGACATTTATAAATAGACATTACTGCCGTCAAACATGAATTATGCCGTTGTTTAAGCTTATTACGACTTTAATTCTTCAAAGAACACTTGCCATGGTTTTGAATTGTTGTAAGATACTGGTAGTGATTTATTTTAACTTGTTTAATTACGGTAAATCATGGATTGTTGTGTTATTTTTTAAACATTATAGGCAACGGCTTATCATGACCTTATACGGTAATGCGCTGCACTGTTATTCTACATTTTGTTATTGGCATATCAATATCTGAATAGTCTATTGATTTCATATGAGAAGCTAAGGAAGATTAATAAGTTTATTAAAATTATGCTGTGTGTTTCATTGATATGTTTAAACATAATACACAAAGAGAAATAAACTTTATATTAATTTTAAACGATGTTTGAAATCCGAATAACTAAATACGGCTCAAAGTTTGAATAATAATTAGCACTTGAAAAACTTTGAGGGCCGCTTGGGCCTGGGGACGAGGATGTTGAAAAACAACCAATCAGAGCCCGACTTTCACCGGTGTTTCCCAGAGCCTCAGCAAGCCTCCACAGAGGATTGCGGGCTCTGGTTTCGAGATTGAATTCGTAATGGCTGCTCAAAATTAATCAAGCTCGTTCCCAGGCTTTTACCATTTGTGGAGGAAAGACGCTGTTCCAGTGGTTCACATCCATTCCCCATTGAAAAATTGATAACCTAAAGGGGTGAGGGAAAATTCTCATATTACATGCTTCCATTCAGTCTGGTACAAACATAGTGTAGAATATATAAAACAGTATCACGACAGTTACAAAACGTTATCACGCAATTGTCGACGTGATAGGACGTTATTACACTGGTGGCAGCGAAAAAGGTAAGTAAGTAAAATTTTATTTCACTACACTAACCCCTACAGCAAAAGCTGATTTCCAAAGAGGGGCGTAGAGAATATTACATTAAAAACCACAAACGTTAAATTACAAACATTACAATGAATACAAAGGTAATTAATAACTAGATACTTCAAGGCAAAGAAGACGAACAATTAGAATATTAATTGACTTAAACCGGCCAGATGTTGGAATACTTGTATTAAAGGTAGGAAGAGATTCCTTATTCCTTAATTCATCTGAGAGGTTGTTCTGCAATTTTGCCCTTCTGTAAGTAAGACTTTTTTTAGATTAATTGGAATATCTATCCTACCACCTGACTGGGCTGTATACCACTGGCATAAATGGTTGCTATAATTAATACTAATAATACCACCACCCTTTCTAAGATACCTTTACTACCCTAAGATAACTTTCTAAGATAACTTTCCTACAAGAAGATAACGACTCTGCATTGCTAAATAACAAAAATTCGACTTGCCCAAAATGCAAAGCTCAAAGCTCAATCTAAAGTGCATGATACCTCAGTCAATCAAAGACAATATGCTCAAATGATGGGAATAAGTAAGCAGCAGTGTCAACAACAGCAAATAGATTCGAATTGTTGTCTGTTGACCTCTTCCTCAGCTGAAAAAAGTTGTTCTTTTGGACAACAGGTAATCAATTGTGAACTAAACCAACACGATGAAATAAGAGTTGAAATTAATTTTGCGAGTCAATTTGATCAGCTCAAAGGTGTATTACATATTATGCCCGAAAGGACAAATGATCGTATCAGGCATTAGAGCGAAGACAAGCGGATCTAACACTACTTCGGTAGTTGCCGAGATCATATCGTCATCTTATAGATCCAGTGGTTTAACAATCAATTTAAGTTTGTTTCGAATTGGATCGCCTTTTGATCCTTTAACTATTACCGAGTAGTTTGATGAGTACCATCTGATAATGTCGTCGTCTTTAAATGATTTGGAACCGTCTCCGGGCGACAGCCATATTGAATCGAGATTTAGAAGCTTGTCGCAAAATGTTTGAAGTTCTTCAAAATTTTCGAGCCACTTGGATGTTCCTTTGTTAGTGACAAACAATTCAGATTTAGATAAAGCATCATTCTGATTCAGCACCATATTTACGGAGATAAATAAAACACATCTGCCCTTTTGCAAGTGAATGTGACAACAGTTCAAAAACTCACCAAACTTGTCGAAGAGATGGAGAAATCTGATGGTGAGAGTACGCCAAAGACGATAACGAGTTTTGCAAATATTCAGCCAAGTAACTCGAAAACGAAGCCAGATAATTACTCTGAAGGCTCGTGGAGTGAATGGATCAGCAATTTCAAGTTATATGCCGAGATAAACGATGCTCAATGTTGTATAAACAACAAGCTGTTTCTTCTTAGGTAGAGCACAACGGATTCACTTGTCGTTGCAAGACGGTGAAAAGTCACGTTTTGACGTAAAAGCTCTCAAGTAAAATTTCAGCCCAAGCAACAAAGGTGCACAAGCTGTCCTTCATTCCCAGCAGACGAAAGATGGTGTAAGAAATCGTGGATTGGCGATCGATCTGAGACAATTTGCTGGCTTGGCATATCGAAACAAGGAAAACTTGCTTGTCGAAGAAGAGCTCGTTGATCAGTTTATCCGTGGCTCTTAACACCAAAGAATTACGTGTTGGCGTGAGTCAAAGCGACCCAAAAACCTTGAATGAAGCAGTAAATGTTGCCTTACGATTGGAAAGTATCCATCTCACTGAAAACCAAAACAATGCGAAAATCAATATGACGGAAACGCTGAGAAACCATGGCAATAAGAGAGAAACCGCTTGTCTAAACATGACAGGACCCAAAAGAGAAGATGAGCCAATACCTGCTTGGGCAAAGATGTATTTTGATCAGCAAGAGCGACTTTTGGAAAGAATGAATTATTTGGTTATAGATAATTCCAGTCCCAAACAAAAGAAAGCAAATGTTCAGTGGTGCAAATGCGGGAAATATATATATGGTCATTACGCGAGAGAATGTCGATTAAGTGCACCGAGTCATGCATGAAACGACAAAAGGGTGGGTTTTCGGCAGGGATCCCGCTCCTGTGCCACAAGCTGCACATCTAGAAACCCTATAAACAAGCCAATTGTGTGAAATAACAAAAAAAGTCCAAAAATAACAAAAAAAGACAACGGCACTTTAACCACACAAGTTTATCGCAAGAAAACACACACAGATCAAATTTTAAATTACAATAGCAATCACCCAACACAACACAAAGTCAGTTGCATAAAGACTCTATTCAACAGAATTGACACACATTGTAACACTGATCAATCCAAACAAGACGCACGCAAGTATTTATACTCTACTTTCTACAAAAATGACTACCCTTTAGACTTCATTAATAAGGTGCTACAATATAAACAACAAACTAACACGGACCGACTTAATCAAACAAAAACGAGAATTACACTTCCTTACATACACACTACATCAGAAATGGCAGCTAGACTCCTCCGACCTTTCAACATTGACGTTGCACACAAACCAACATGCAAACTTAGGCCCAACTTCACTAAACACAAAGACAAGACACATATAACGGAAAAACATAACGCCATTTATATCTTCCCGTGCAAAAACTGTCCGGATAAGTACATTGGACAAACATCTAAAAAGATTCAGACAAGTCTAACAGAACACCAGAACGCAATCAACAGACACGACCATAGCTCACTTCCAGCTAAACACACAGACGACAACGGACATAAATTCGACTGGTTTCAAACGAGATGCCTAGGACAAGCAACTACTAAACATGCCTGTGAGTTTAAAGAAGCGTGGCATAGTTTAGACAAACAAACATTTAACGGTCACATTGACATCCCTACAATTTACTTACAACTGAAACGCTCACACAAATCTCCTAATTCATCTTCATTAACCTTTAACCTTTAACCCACCCTCAACTTCCTTCCCTACACCGTCTCATGATAACAATAATCACCCGCATTCGATAGTAACCAATGGCAACCAACATACTGAAATCCATCAACCAATCAGACGTTCCCACAGACTTCAACAGCGTCAACAACAGCGCGAAAATTCAAATGATCAATCTTTCTGATGAAGACTCGAAGTACCGAGTCGAAAGCTCAAAAACAAATAATTACAATCCGGAGAACACTGTATAATTTTGTAAAAATTATAATTTAATATAGATCCAAGTATTCGATCCAAGTATACGTGCCAAAAGGTCAAGTTGAAGTAGTCTTGTTGTATGTGGAACGTTCGTGATAATTAAGGAACATTGGTGATTAATTAAGGCATATTTATAAAATGCAACGGTGTTTAATCCTCATAAACTCGAAAGGGAAGGTGGAGACACAACAGATCATAATTATGTGAAGCAGAGGTAGAGTAGAAACGTGTGAAGTTAAAGTGCGGCCAAGCTCCAAAAGAACATATAAGTACAATTTCAGAGCATACAATCACATGTTTTTATTGCTTGTTTAACATATATTTATAATTTAGAAAACAGAAATCAAATTTAGCAAGTATTTCGAAGTATATATGATTCTCAAAGATGATTATTCCGTACCCACACTCCTGCGTTCGAAGTGTGAATTGCGAAAATGGAAGCATGTAAGACGAGACTTTTCCCTCACTCCCTTACATGCAGTGAGCAATCAATTATCTGTAGGACATGTGACCAGCTCCAACCCGGGTTTTCCTACATAACGTTGAGGCCCTTCTTTACTGTTTTGAAGATATTTTTAAATGACGTACTCTAATAGCAAAATAGAGCAAAACGTTTTATTTAGAGTTAGGAATTCAAATAATATGTGAGGTTAATTCGCTTAAAAAGTTAAAGTAATTTCCCACGCATGAATCATGATTTCCTGTGTTCTTTTACATCTCTGCTGCTGCCTCCCCTGTAGCCACTAGCCATTTCAAATATAGGGGAGTTGTATTATTCCTACTCAGAAGTTATTTAGAATTTGCTATCATTGGAAATTGATGTCATCGGTTTGAGCGTATGCTTGATTCTCCCAACCTCCATGGATTTCACATGGTTAGATGCACGACTCATTATTCCCCTGTTCACTTGTCTAATTACCAAGGGAAACCCAAACAACAAAACTATGCTGTTTTAAAATCCTGGCGATTAATCAGTTTTCTTACCATATTTTAGACCCTCTTTGTGCATAGACATTAAATGTCTGGCATGTGCAATCATTTCTTCTGAAGACAATTGTTCGTGTTCACCTAGGTACCTTGAGAATTTCTCAATTGTTATTGCTCTTGACATTTCTTTAATCTGAAAATATTAATTGAACACGAGTTCAGGTTAATATATAGGGTAAATATCAAGATTTTGCTGGCATTTCCTGGATTGAATAACAGTTGAAGGGTATAGTAGATAAAAATTATCGATAAAGATGATTTCTATCTTAAATTTGTACGTACTGTGCAATAATAATTCCCTCACGAAATTTCACAAGACTATATTTTCTAGCCTGTGTACAGACGTTACTCTCGACGAAGCGCGCGAGAGAACGTCTGTGAGTTGGATGAAGATTCCTTGTTCTGGTCACGTGGATTTTCCCCAGATTTGTGGAAAGGCTGTGACAGTGCTTTATTTAAATAATATATGACAAATGAAGATATTTCATTGGTTAATTGGTAATTGGCATGGGTTTAAAATAACAACACAATTATTTTAAATAAGTGTTGAAAAATTATTGGCTTTGTAGTGACTGGATTTACATAGTATAGTGAGATGCAAATGAGGGATATGTAATCCTTTTTAAATGACAGAACGGGGAAAATTATATTTTGCCAGAAATTAGGTACACATATTGTTGCTGCATGCATGCGTGCAACATATTCTTGTGACAGTTACATGCATAGTTACTGTTAAAATGCTACAACCCTACCACTTCTGCTTTTATATTACTGCATTTTGTGCAGTATTACAGTTATAAGGTTACCAAGTTATGGATAGCCTCCAAAGTAGGCGCTCGGGGGCTAGGTTCAAAGAGTAAGAGCACCTGCTCGCATCCCCCATGTTTTTCGATTTATGCAAAGAGTACGCAAAAATCTCATCGGCTAACTGCGACAATTGATAATTAATGAACTATATTAAGTTTCGATTTATCGACACTTTGTTATTGCCAAGGCAAAGTAGAAAATATGTCAGCCGAAGCTACCATACATTTGATTTATCTGCGCTTTAAATAGACCGTGTTAAACTGTCCACTTTCAAGTGTAACTGACTATCAGATAAAGGAAGCAGAAACCTTGCTATGAGCGTGTGTTTTTAAACAATGTTTTATTACACCGAATAGATGTTTATATCCATGCAGCTTGCAAGGACAGTTTTGTTTTGAATGGCAGTTTTAAAATCCGCAACAATTAAAGGTGATCTACAGTCCGTATGTAAACAAAGCCTTTGTTTACATTTTTTTGTCCAAAATATTGAGCTTTATTCGACAACTATTTATATTTTCAAGCTTGTAGAGTATAATAAATGATCAAGAAACAACAATCAGGCTTTTCAAGAACTCAAAACATAGTCAAACTGTTTGTATCATAAAAAGTGGGCTCATTTGTGCACATGCGCAGATCGGACTGTAGATCACCTTTAAGGTTAAGTGTATTACTACAACTGTTAGAAAATGTACATTTTTGCATGGAGTGTATCGCAGTCAAAATTTGTTTAACAATACGTTACAAATAGCGGCCGGTGGATTAATTTCGTCGACCGATTAGTTGAGTTATTAGACACCTTAAGATTGACGTTTATATACGACAAACGTCAAACCGCTAGCGAAGTTTTTGATTTTACTCTATTATAATAGCTTTTACACCAGTTTTGAAATATGTTATGAAACAATTATTAAACTTGTGCTCTTTAGCAACCAGGTGATCTTGATACGCGGAAAAGTACTGGCACTAGTTGTCAAATAGAAATCCATTTTATGATTAAAACAACTGAATATCTCCTGTAATATACTTTATTTCGATTCCATATTTTTGTCAGAGCTATAGTTCCCATAACCAAACTTAAATACAAAATTTCAACTAGTTTCATAAAGAATAACGAAAGATATAATTGACTGAATACATCAAAATGGATTTCTATTCGGACAACCCTTTCTGAGCGCTGATTGGCTAAAATACGAACACGAGATCACCTGGAATGATTTAAGAAGGCAAATTAACCACTAGTCATGTATTCACCAATGCAGTAAACTAAGATTTAGCATTTGAAGTGTACAACGTCTGGCGTATAAATTTCATGTTTTAACGACTACAAGCCCTCGTAGCAATTCAAGCATTAAATTTATACGCCAAACGTAAACTTCAAACGACAAATCGTAATTTACTGCTTTGGGGAATACATAGCCTGCGTGGTAGGCTCAAGGAATAAAGAGAGCCTGCAACAATCTCAAGGAAATTTGGTATTTCGGGGCCGTGAGCGGACTCAAAAATCCTATTGGTTGAAATCATAATGTATGCCAAAATACGCATCAATCATTGTGGCGCAATGTTTATACGCTATCAATAAAACGTATATTAGCGTAAAATTTTGAAAGAGTGCTGTGAATTTGGGTTTTAAACTAAAAACTGAACAGCTGGAAATTGTTGATATGTTTTGTTAATGTTAATGTTAATGGCAGGTTTTCTCATTGGATATCTGCCTTGACAAGTCGAAGAGCATGCATATATGGATACAAACCCATGCACGTGTTGATATTTCTCTAAATAATACAGTAGCTATACCCGATCAATTTGAAAATACTGATTTTGACAAATTATGTATCCTATTAAATACATGTCGCTTTATGTATTTATGAAACTTACTACTCGATCTACAAACGTTGCTTTTATCGGTTTTTATGAGTTTTACAGCAGACTACAAACTACAGTGCAATTTAGCTTGTATTGTGATATATTTTTATAGTTTAAGAGTTTGTTATTGTCAATTTGTAAACGTTTATACTGTTCGATCAGCCGTGAGCCGTTGCAATTTTGAAACATCTACTCGCTCATAGCTGATCATAATATGTATGATTTTGAAATTTATTGTAATGTTTGGACCTAAGATGGTATTGTTTTCCTTTTGATATAAATATATTTTTGAGTTCCATTCATTATTAATACGTAAAAATAGTCTGTTGAGTAACGACATCTAAACTGCAGTATCAAGTCAAAATCTTTTGTTCTAGTGAATTGTATCACATACTAATGTATCGAAATGTACCAAACCGACATCGCCGGTGTAAATTCTGTTTTATTTACTCCAAAAGTAATTTAAACTGCCAATTTTTTAAAAGTGTTTGAATTCTCGAGCCACTCTATATGAACTACAATAGTGAATAGTAATAAATTAAAGTATATTTATAGTTGTTACTCACACTGCATCACGCACACGGATTTCAGAAAATATGATTGGTTGGATTGGAAATAAATTATCATAGTAATTAGTGGGCGGTTATCAAATTTCCTTGAGATTGTTGCAGGCTCTCTTTATTCCTTGAGCCTGCCACGCAGGCTAGGGAAAACATGACTAGTGGTTAATTTGCTTTCTTAAATCATTGCTAAGCATTGAATTTGCTCAAAGTATTAAATTTGCATTGTTGCTATGAAAAAAAACTGCATTTGTAGTTGTTGATATTTATTTAACCTTATTCGTCATGATTCATGTGACAAAGAATAATCAAAATCAGTGGAAAACTTTTTGATAGATTACAGTCTATTCTTTAAATCAACTGTTCTGTGTTCAAAAAGTTGAAGTAAAATAATCATCCGGCATTAGACAAAGTAGTGACCAGTGAACTGGTAGTAACTGGTCAATTCTGGAGGTATATATGGGAGTTGGATCTTTGCATTAAATTTCAGTGCATTGTATTTGGGGAATCCCTCTAGCTTTCATGACACACTTGATACAATTTTATTCTTCAGTAACCACAATTAACTAACATTAATTAAAGATGCTGTAAAGTCGGTTCTGCGCAAATATTCTGTACATCAACACATTCCATCAGTGGGGAGCAACCTTTGGAATGTTATTAATATTTCGCACCTTCCGAACTTTCTTGAATTGAATCTCTACTCTGCATTCATTTAAAGCATAGCGAACCAGAAGAGTGTTAAAAATTCAGTATAATATATATCTAATCATATTTTACAACTGTAGCACTGAGTTCAAAATGTAAACAAGCGTTGTTTACATTACGATTTACGGACTTTACATCACCTTTAACAAAAGTTATATGATTATAAAGCAGAAAGTTATGATCAACAAAATGATGAATACCCCAACTTAAAATTTCATGGAGGCATGCCCTGTACCCCCTAGAAAGTTACCACCTTTGGCATGCATTGTCTTGTACTTCTAGAGCTTCTCTTACACCCCACATTAGCATTCTCGACCAGCGCATTTCACTTTCAGCTATGTAATGTATTAAGACTATTTTGTATTTAACACCACAATCCATTCCTGGTCAAAACCCTTGACACGTTTATACACATTTTCAGTGTTGAGTATAACTTTCCCCACAATAACAACTATATTTCTACCCCCTTAGCCCCATACAATGTTGTCCTTAGTGCAACTGCCTTGCACGTAGTCACTCAACATTCTTTCACCTCGGGAAACGTCAAGTAAGACCAGTAAAGCACAGCCAGTGTGTTATAAAAGACTGATTAATATACGATCGATCACTGTGGAAATATCATGTGGATCACACTCATCACAGCATTTCAAATTTATTTTAAATCACATACAAACATTTAGACAAAAAAAACAACTTTCACCTTGTCTGTCACAGTACATTTTCATTGTATTGTTGTTTGTGATAACAGATGTTAATAATAGCGATGTACTATTATTAATTGTAGATTTGTACATAAATCACTGATATAAATAGAAGCAGTCATTTTGGTTTTTTTAAGGTTGCCTGTTCGCAGGCATGTACATATTTAATGTATGCAGCCTGAGTGTTTAACCCACAAACAGCGCGATAGCAATGTATCTATCTTTCGCATAGATACAAAAACTGGTGTAAAAGCTATTATATTAGAGTGGTAAAATCAAAATCGTCGCTACAGCGGTGTGACGTTTGTCGTAAACGTCAATCTTAAGGTGTCTATTAATTTATATCGTGGAAGCTAGGGCATTGTAGATGGAAATTATCCGGTGGAAGTTTATAATACATTCACTAGACTTTAAATTAATGATGGAAATTATCGAGTGGAAATTTATAATAAAGTTATAATACATTGTTAGACATTTATAATCGCAGGGCCGCATGCTCGATTACTGTCAGGGACCTAAGATTGCATTTTTCGTAGTTGTTCCTAGTTATAGGTCTAATAAATCTATTATAAATTTCCACTCGATAATTTCCATCTACAACGCCCTTAAATAGGCTAATTAAAATGGTATAAACAGTATATGAGGTTTTTCAAATTAGTTTACTTACATTTTTCATCACATTGCCCTCACTAGATGCCATCGATAATGATTTGACAATCTCTAGAAACTAAAAGGATTTTAGTACATCCTAGAGGACTGAAGGAGTAAATATAAGAGACACAGTGACCCAAACACTCCTATTTTTTCTGGCATTTCTATCGAAGAGTTTAATAAATAGTTTGACAAAGTGTGTTATTTAGAAGGTAAATTTTAAATTTACGTCTCTTCACATCCCTTGCATGCGCATTATTATATTCTGCTTTGAATTATAAGAATTCCTTTTCCAAAACACCTATAGTTTGTGATTTTTGTTTGTTTGCCAGGGGCTGGTCTAAAACTAATAAATTCTTTGGACCTTTGCTAAACTTATAACATTAGCATATTCATGCTAATGTTATAAGTTTAGTGTGAAAGTTTCACCACTTATATATATTTCCAGAGCTGCATATACAACGTTTGTTTACACAACGTTTGTTTTGTACTTTATTTCATAATTAATTAAATTGTTCAGAAACGTTTGCAACGAAAGACAATATATATTATTCAATATAGGTTAACATACCTGGTTTGTATTCTATTATTTATCTGTTAATTTGTTAATTTGTTAGCTAGCAATATTAACTAGATAAGTTTTAAGTTCGATGCATGAGTGGATTTTTATATATACCATCCCCCGATCATCTAAAGTTTGTTTATATCTGGAATAGAACTTACATGATTGAATAGATAACATATAAAACAAATTTTATACAAAACAAACCTCAGATTTTTCAGTTGAATCAAGGAGATCTAAATAAATGAACAGATCTGAAAAACAAACACTTTTCTCCCCAAATAACTGAAAATATTCAACCAATAGCTTGATTAAATCATCCGGGCATCCTAAACAGAAAAAAAAAGCAAAAATATTCCAAGAATAATTCGCAATGCTAGCACAGAAACAATTGACTTGACATGAAGTTAGAACACTTATCACCCGAAACTGTAACACATAAGCTGCAATTTTCCAAATGCAACAGCCAGACACCTGTATTACCTCTCCCTAAGGCATATTTCAATTTGCCACGTGACCAACTCCGACTAGGGGTTTTCCTCCACAAGAGGGAAAAGCCTGGGAATGAGGTTGACAAAAGTGAATTACCTTCGGATGATGTATGGATCATTTTTTTATATGTTTTCTTTTGAAGTTCCAGACAAGCCAAAAATGGTGCTCTGTTTCTCCTCTCATTGTTTTCAATTTCTTTGCGCTTCATTTTTTCAATGAAATTCCTAGCCATAGGCACAGTGTAATCTGGAACAGCACTAAAGGCACAAGAAAGGACAATTAGAATTTTTAAAATGCATGGTTGTGGCCAGAACTGTAATTATTCTATTACCACCACATATTTTACTTTGTTTAAAGATACTATTGTTTCTTTGCCTTCTTCCTTTTGTTATTTAATAGCTTACTTTATTTCATAAGTTCTTTGTAGGTTTGCATGGCGATAAAACCATATACTATTTTGTTGGTCGAAACATCCACGTGAATTTATTACTGCAAAGCTTTCGATCTGTAAGCCAGATCTTCATTAGTGCTAATAATATGATTATTAACACTGATGAAGATCCGAGCTTACGGATCGAACGCTTTGCAGTAATACATTTCCACGGTGTTTCCACAAGCAAAATATTTTACTTCATTTCACCCACAATTTTGGTTGTATAGAAAAACCGTCGCTGCATATTTGTGTGAATATATTTCTTGAACTCAATTTTGTTTAAAACATTAAAAGGTTTTGGCAAGAAAGGTTTTCGGCGTTTCGCGTGCTTTCGTTGTCGTGAATCCTATGTAAACAGCTTGCCGAAAGGTGCCGAAGAAATCAGCATATTCACAGATTTCCCCCAATCAGATTCCATTGAAATCTTTACCAAATGTTCGAAAATACACACAGATCAGCCAGAATACAAAAATTGGGATTATCTTTTAATATAGCATGAGAAAATCAACAAAATGTCCATACAAAATTATCGCTCACTCATTAGTAAAATATATGGCAGCCATGGCTGGCCGCGCGCTATCCCCAATGTTTTTGCACCGGTGCACCCCCAGCAATATGGCGGAATAAACCTTGAAAGGGACTATTAAAACCAACAAAATCACGAACAGTCAAACATAATAGAAATAATCGAAGTCAATGAAACACCTTTGAGAACAGCCCAGATACCACTTCGAGCAACCACTAACACACTTACCAGAAATGCAGTGGCGACTATTTGTCACGCACAATTGGACAGAATCCCGATTCCAGTATTATCAGGTAATAAAATGTATTTTCCAAAATGGCATGCTGCGTTTACACACTGTGCTGATGTAACATCCCTATTCAAAATTTTACGTTTGCAGGCCTGTCTTACCTCCAAGGCAGCTAAGATAATACAAGATTGGGGTATTTGGCAGTGGCATACAAAGCAGCGAAAGCACATCTGTTTCGCAAATACAGTGGCGGTCAGATAAATTAAAGAAACTAAAGAAATTAAACCCATTGAAGACAATAATCCAAAAGAATTGGAAAAATTCGCAGATGTTCTGGCACAAGATGTAATTACTCTAAAAAAATGGTTGTGAATCAGATTTACGGAGAAGAACATTGCATACAATAATATCGGGAAAATTCCAGAGCGCTTACTATAGCACAGTATTACCGCTGGATAAAAGTAAAACCACAACAAACATTCCCTGGAAAAATGAAAAATCTAGGTAACAGAAGATCCGATGGTGAAAGAAAAAATAGGTACGCTACGCGTACACGAATCTACGAATAGCAATAAATCGTTGCCCCACCCTACCCAGTAGTCAATCGACAACTTGAAAAAGTGAATGGCCGCCAAGCACTAGCTAGTCCAGAACATAATCAGAAAATAATATATGCGTGCATAATCAGGTCATTGATATACCAGTAATTTGCGCTAAAACGGTTATTCCAGATTAAAATATTTACAATTCTAATTGTAGGACGATACTTAGTTGCACACTTAACAAATCCATCGCAGTAAAAACCCACAGTAACTGTGTCTTATGCGTGAATAATCCGAACGAAACAGACACTCAATGACTGGTCGATGATTCAATGCCTTAGTATTTCGGATGACTGCATGTTCACGCAATTTCGGCTATTTTTCACTCCTCATGTTTTCTGTTTGCCGTCCAACCAGCGAGTGATTTAACTCCATAGGTCCAACCACTCGTTTGGACACGTTATAATTGTGGTATCAAGCATGACTGGTTTAATTCTTGTTTGTACACAATGTCGTAATGTTGTACATGTACATATAAATAGTTTTTTATTTGATGTATGTAACATTATGTTGTTTTGTTATGTTTTGTTATGCTGATTGTTTCTGTATGTTTTGTTGTTCTCTGACACGACTAAAATTCCTTTTTGGTTCATGTCAATATTTCGAGTGCCTTTGCGGGTATGTGAGTAGTTGTCTGTCCTTGTCACAAAAGACAATTTGTTGAGAACAAGAGACGGTGACGTAAATATCCTGGATCAAGCAATGCCAATGAACAGTTATGGATTACAAGTACTTGGCCCTACGAAGAAATCTACGTATCTTCCAAGGGAACGTTAACAAACTGACTTCAAGCAACAATCTTACAGAAAAACAATCCTGTGTATTGATTAACTCTTAATCTATTATCTGGAGAATTCTATATTTAATATATTGTGCGGCTTGCTTCGTATTAATATTCTATACATTTCTTCGTTGTACATTTCACGCCCAGCGTCAATTTGACAGTTGACATGCAGTCTGTGCTTATTTATCTCATGCAGTCGACGCTGATTGGTTCGCGTTTGGCTAGCAAGAAAAAGGGCTGGGCGCAAAAAATGCATGGTTCCATGCAGGCTCACCTTTTTACCCAGTGAGCCTGCTCGCAGGCTACCTACCAAACTATCTATTTGTCCACTGAAAAAGTTGTTTAAAAATAGAAAAGTAGCTGTGACATACCGACATCTCTTGAATGACTATCTTAAAAAAGTATATTCGCCGAGTACCGAAAGACGAATAAACGCCCAGCAGGAATTGCTTCCTCCACATTACCCGTAGTACGGCCGGCTGGGAGTGCAAATACCAGAGTAAGAATAGTTTTCGATGGTTCAGCACCTTATGAAGGCAAACATCGAAGCACTACCTGATCCCATCTTACAAATAATGTTTTTGATATATTAGCCAAGTTTAGAAAAGAAACTGTAGCACCTGCCAGTGATATAAGTCAGAAGTACTATCAACTAGTTTTGCGACAAGATTAATCACTAGTTTTGCGAGAAAATTAGTCTCTCGCCCAATCTGCTTGTCAGTTGGATAACTGAAGGTTTAAGGATATAGTTACATTTAAAATTCAGTCGAAACGTACTATAGTAAATCATATGTGTTTTGTTTTGACGTGTTCTCAAAATGACGTCATGCCGGCGCTCAAAGGCATTCTCGCCCCAGTATTTTCGTACTCACGGTCAAATGTTCAAAATAGGCAAAATCGCTAACTTCGAGCGCCAAAAAGTCCATGAAGATCAAATTTTCGAATTATAAAATATATTACAAAAACTCTTAGAATAACTAAATAATCGAAACACATCAATTCCCTGACCATGCATGACATAAGCACTTTAAACTTTGGATCATTGACCTCAGATTGTATTAGAATCAGGAAGAGGAAAATGTAAAAACGGATTTCTCATTTTTATAGCTTTATAGCTCTATAATTCACGTTAATTAATTTCTTGTTTATTTTGGTTAAGACTTTGTGTAAAATCGGATAGACAATTTAATCCAGCTAAGTTTCGGTTGTTTTTGTCAGGAAAATTGGCATTTTATATTAGAGAAATTGGGAATAAGTGTTTTGTTTACATATTGCATATCTAGACATGAAACAGATTTAGTAGCCTATCTCAGTTAGCACACTCAGGAATACACTAAAAGTAGATCATATTGAGAGAGAAAAGGCATTGTCCTAATGGAAATTCCTTTGTCATGCTGATAAAAACTACAGCAGCAACATTTTTACAAAACGTCCCATGCCAATCAATCACAAAACACTCATTGCGCCTTAATACGCGTTACCTTGTTATTTTACGCTGTCTAATGCTAGACAATTTTGCTAGTCAGGTAAATTTAGCTAAACAGTTTTACAAACAGATCAATGAATTGGACCAACATACCATGAATTATTATCGTCAGCGATTGGTGCATAGTTGGCTTCAATTAATCTTGTTACTGACTCCAAATATCCTTGATAAATTGACCATTCACCTGGCCTGTAAAACACATACATTTTCAATGGCACAGTATTACTGTTACATAGATTTTATATTGTTATACACTTTTTGTACCAAAATAAAGGAAAAGTGCAAAGTTCAGTTCATACTGGTTTACAAATCTGGGCATCTATAGGCAATCGTGAAAACCAACATTTCATTTACATGGATATTTACAAAAGAATAAACAAATACGTGATGGATCTATACACAATATTCTCAGACGTGTCTCAGACGAGTGTCACAGACGGGCACGACAATACCTCTGGCCATAATGACCTGGTATGTTGATACCAGAGGGTAATTTTTCAACCAAAATATGCAAAAGAGAAAATGAACATAAAGAAAGGGGGGAAAATTATCAATATACATGTTGTTGATTTACAATTGAAAAGTGGAACAATAGAATAAACTAACCGCATACTTTTTTTTGCTCCGGGTAAAATCATGGTTTTACCCTAAGAAGGTATAGAATTTGCTGGATCTCTCGGTTTAGGATAAATTTTTATAAATTACACAGATTTTTGTAAAGATCGCTATAAAGACAGATTTTATATGATGAAATGCTTTCTTTTAGTATAAGAAAATTATTTACAGGATTTGAAAAATTGTCAGATGAAAAAGTATGCTTATTATAAATACTCTTCCGCTCGAAATTTCCATGTACAACAACCCTTCAACTGTTAGTTCTATCGAGTGAGATGCTCCAACATCCCGATATTTATTTTAAATAAGCATATTTACCAATAATTGGAAACTTTTCGTTCAATAGTTTTTCAAAATTCATCGAAATAGTCAATAACTTTAATACAATAGAAAAAAAGCTTGCAAACTTACACATGATTTAGTTCATTTTCTTTTTCTTATAAATAGTATTGTTACGCTGGTCTTCCACCCAAAATTGCCAATATTTCTCATTTTTAGAAAAACAAAAAATTCGAAAAGTCACTGTTGCAATAGTAATGGCAGTTATGTAACTGTTGTGAAAGCAAATCAAATTATTTCAATATGTTTAAAATGCACCTCAATTTTTTTTATCATTTCATTCTTAAGAACTTCTGAAATGATATAATAACTTATTTTGAAGATTTTTGTTTGCACACTTCGTCTCCGAGTTATTTCAGTTTTATAGGCCGTTTGCTGCCTCCCGATATCGTTCACTTTCATTAAGCATGTCTTGGAACTGAAATATTTTTACGGGAACTAACACTTTCGAACACGCTGAGTTCAAATCCCAATTCCCGTGCCGTAGACCCACAGTTTTCTCACAAACTGCTTTTTTATCTTCGCTAATTTCACAACAACTTTTTTCATTGTTCAACGACACGGATCGATGACATACGATTATATCACTCAAAACAACCAATTTCTATTAACCAGTCTTCCTTTTAACAAAAGACCGTTTTGCTCGAATGCGTAAACAACATATCTTTCCTTATTGGGCATTTTGAGTTATGCAATCGTGTGTCTTCATCCATCCGTGTCGTTGAACAATGAAAAAATTTTGTCCTGAAATTAGTGAAGATAAAATAGCAGTTTGTGAGAAAACTGCGGGTCTACGGTGCGGTCAGTTGTCGGATTTCAACTCAGCGTGGTTGAAAGTGTTAGTTCCCATAAAAATATTTCAGTTCCAAGACATGCTTAATGAAAATCGTTTTCTAGGCAAACAGCCCATTATTGATATGCAAATGACCGGAATGTATGTCACATATGAATAAGGACTGATCAGATAATGTCAGGTAAGTTAAATATGGTGTTTTACATAGGTATATATGATCCTCCCACAACTCCAAACTTCATTTTAATGAATTAAAACTCGATAGTGAATACGACATACAAGCTTTTACTTTAAATAATTATCCATTTGTTACGTAAATTCCAGATATGTGCATACCAAACAAATTGAAATATCTCAGAAACAAAGTGAACAAACGAAAACTTCAAAACAAGTTATTATATGATTTCAAAAGTTCTAAAGAATGAGGTGATAAAGGTCATTGAGGTTAGGTGCACTTTAACTACAACTTACATGAACAAAAATGTACGTCGTAAATTGTTACTTTTTCGAAAATATGGTATGAAGTAGAGGTGTGCAAATCCGATCTGATCTGATTCGTTCGGATTTCGGAACAAAAATATTCATTCCGGATTGGATCGGATTGATAAAGTTATTTCGTAGTCAGATCGGATCGGACTTCGATATTCGAAATAAAATGAATTAATTATCCACGACAAAAACAAAACATTAGTAGAAGTATGTCACTTTTTCAGCTTTTTTACATGTATTTCTTGCTTTTATATTTATTTGGTTAAATATTTCCACTTTAATGAGAAACTTATTTTATTAAAGGATTCTTCGGATCGGATCGGAATTCTTTATCAAAACTCGGATCGGATCGGATTCGGATTAAACAATTTCGGATCGGATCGGATTGGATTTTAAACATTAGCCAATTGTCGGATTATATGAAGCCACCTTTAACTACAACCATTCAAACAAACAATACACACCTTGTTTCAATTAGGTTCTTATACGAGAGATTAACATCACTCCACCTTTCCAATTTTTGTAAATATTCTATTTTTTTCTTTTCATTCGCATAAGAAGATAAAAATGTTGCTAAAAATAAAAAAAGCAAAACATTAGTATATGCATGCCAAAATTAAACTGTGTTGTAACCCAGTGAATCATCAAATTGCAAGAATATTTCCTCAAAATGCAAAAACTGTTTAGAATTATGTATAGAACATTGGGATTCTAGCAAAGGCCACTTGGTATTGGGTCCCACAGTTTCGAACATTAAAATCTCCCTAAAAAAGGCTTTTTAGGTAGGAATAATTGTCTGGGAGATTTGCTGGTGCAATCATCAAAGCAAGTACCTTGCATCTCCGAGACTGAGGGTTCAAATCTCATTTCCAGACTCAAGATATTCATGTAAAGAACCAGTCAATACAGTACTGAAAATTCTACAGGTACTCCGGGTTCCTCCCACAGGAAATGCCTGCACTGAAAATAGTATCACCTGAATGCCAGTAACGTGACAAAATGTTTCACATAAATACATGCTACCTATTGTTGATAATGGCAAAATTGGCAAATCAGTTCCACACGTGAGCTTGATGATTAAACAGAACAAGTCATATTTTGAAAGGACACCAAAACATTAACTTTGCTTATCTGGTTTTCATTTGCTTATCTGGTTTTCATTTGTCGTATTAGATTTTCATTCAAAATTTCTAAAAGTACTCAATTAGCTTACAGCATAGAATATTGTGTGGTTGCCCAATGGACGTTTTATTGTCATCGCAATTGCCTGAAAAAGGCAGTACCGGATTACTGTGCACAGCGAAATATTTTGCAGATCACAATAATGTCACTAGCTTGATTTTTTTTTCCATTAAAGGTTTGCCATTCGCTGCTACACAGTTGATGCTAGAATTTCTGAAGTCCATTCTTTAAGATACATCGAAAACTCCTTCACTCTAGTGCATACAATTTCAATATAATTTAAAGAAACAAATATCTAAAGAGCTAAACATTTTAATATCATGACAAAATACATTGTACTGAGGCAAGCAGGCCTAGCAAAATGCCCGATTTTCTAAGTAGAATCTCCTAACTTTTACACTGACAGGGGGATGGAAGGGACTACAGCCCTCTGTCTCGTATGCCTTTCTGAATTAATAGATGAAAGCAACATTGAGTTAAACAGTAAGCCTAATCAATGATCTTCACTGTTATCAACTAGGGTCCTATTAAAAACAACTGAATGCAAAATTAACATTCTACAAAAAATACACAATATTCAAGACTAAAATAGATAAAAAATAGTTATCATAAGTTAAAAGCTATAAAAGTTCAACGTCCAAATAAAAATTTCTAACTATAGTTAGAATGCTTATAAGCATGTAAGCATCTAAAAAGTTGTAACTTAACTTTAAAATCACTTATTAAAATCACTTATTATTTTACACCAGTAAGGTAAAAACTCTTTTTGGCACAATCAAGGCGTACTTTAGGAAGCTTTATCAAGCTGTTATTTCTTGTTACGTGATTACTATCAATAATTTCCAAATTTTTCACTTGACAATCACCAATTGCTGAAATTTTGACTTTCAGCTTTTATGGATTCTCACCTTGGAAGATAATGGAGTGAACTCTACGCTCAACGCTTTTCAACTTTTCTTCTTTCTCAGTTTCCATAAAAGCCTGACCCCTCCAGAAGCTCTGCAATAGATTTTGTTGAAATGATCTCGGAAACATAATGTTCGATCAAGAAGAATTCCCAAATAGGAATAAGAAGTGACATTGTTCACCAATTCTTCTTTGAACTTAACATTCCGGACATGGTCATAATTTGTGGATACGTTTTTCCCGGTTCCAAAAAAAATTCATTCCCTTTTATCTTTTTTTAGGTTAACCATCGGCTCATTCTTTTATTCAATGACGCTAACCTCTTTATGAGCATAATATAAAACTGTGTCATCTGCATGCATTTATAATATTCTACAATGTTTCAAAGGCAAATACGCACCATTAAAGTGAAGTAAAAACAGTAGAGGACCCAGAATTATCCATACGCAAATAATAACGGCGTCTGGAACGCTGTAGTTTTTCCTAATATTTGGAAAGCCTTTAATTCCATAAACCATAATACCTTGTTACACAAAATAAAAAATCAATTTGGAGTTTCAAATATTGAATTAAAGTGGTTTAAATCCTGCACTTCTGATAGGGAACAAGTGTGTTTTGTCAATGGCATGACGTCAACATCCAAAAAGATAGAAGCAGTCCCTCAGCGATCTATCTTAGGGCCATTATTATCTTGTGCTTATATGGCGATGAAACACAGACATTTACATCAGCTAAGAATTCTTGTGGAACTTATTTTTTTCTTAAATATCGATATGAATAAAATTACTCATGGAATGGCTAACAAGTGTAACAAATTACAGCATCACTCGACCAAAACCAAATTGATGTACGTTCACTTGGTTCAAAGCATAATCTTCGTAAAATAAACGATGATATTGCTGTAATGCCAAATAGCCAAGCGATTCTACGGCTGGTGTTATTGCCTGTCAAGTTCTTTGGCAGTACATTCTACATTATGGTACATCTATTTAAATAGGACTTTTGAAATGAAGTCTTGCATCGTGTTGTCCTGAATGACAAATGGTCAGGATCGGATGATCTTGTTTCTCTTTGGCTGTTGACACTAGCTGGTGGAGGTAGGAAATGTTCGTCAATTCTCATGAGTCCACAGGCTTTGGCGCACTGCATGGTACTCGACATGTTTAGACCAAGTTAGGCTAGTCTCCCTCGCAGACGTTCTTATAGCTCTAACCCTCGCTAACTAACGTCTGCTGAAACGAGCTGCACATTCCATTCCCTCCGATCGACCAATCACAGCGAACCTTCTATATTTCGGAAAGTGATTTACGAGCGGAATAAATAGTACATAAATATTTTTATATTTTGAAAGCAGTCGTCGGTTGAATTTTGGTCAAAATTGCACATAAATTGAATTTAAAGACATTGATACTTGTCCAGGAAATAAAATGCGCCATTAATTATCAGAATCGGATATTAAAGATGTTCGGTTATATTTAAAACGTGGACAGGATGGCATACTCGAGGGCATACTGTATTAATCTAGTGGCGACAGCATCAAATGCATAATATATTTCGCTGAAATTTGAACTTTTGACAGATATATATCTTTAAGACAACAGAACTCAGAAGACAGAAAATTTGATATAATACTGTGGCTTAGAAAGCGAAATATTAGTTTCAAAGTAAACTAATTTGCTGTTTGAGCAACGACTTCTGACTTTTGAATGTAAACACAACACAATAAAACCCGAGAAACTTTTCCAGTTCGCCCAAACTTCGAAACGTTTATACATGTAACTTCGCTATACTTTTCTACATGCAACGAAAGATTAATCTTTTACAATTTTTCGTCGAAGCCATGGCATATCGGAAAAATTGAATAGCAACATTTGGACATATCCCGATCTACTCGTTCTCGAGTTTCCCGATTGCTTGTTTGTCATTGTTAACAAAATTTAAAATTTCGCCTGTTGCATAGCTTTTGCATTTTATATACGCCGGTTGTTTGCAGAACATGCGAGAAGATGATCACAATATTATTCTACGTAAACATCGTGAAGTTCAAGGCTATAGTTTCCAAAATATCTCCACGCAAGTAAACAAATTTCAACCCAAACAATATATTCCCATGTGCAAGGGCTTTCCCCAGTAGCTAAACCCTCAATAAGGCGGCTTCCAATTGGATCTAACTCTTTTGAACACTGCCAGATGATTGGCTCCTAAAACAAAGGGAATGGAATGTGCAGCTCGTTTCAGCAGACGTTAGTTAGCGAGGGTTAGAGCTATAAGAACGTCTGCGAATAACTAGATGAAGTTAATATCCCAAGAACACGCTCACTGTCCGTCCTATAATGGCATCATGCAGCGCATACGGGTAGATGATTTTGTTGTGCTTACGGGTGACTCTCAACACTTTGCATTTGCTTACATTTAACTCCATGTTGACGTTGGTCGAGCCTTCCTCAAATTCTGACAGGTCATTCTGAAGAGCAGATGCATCAGAGATGGCATTGATTGTCTTAGATTTTCGTATCATCAGCAAATGTAGCAATCTTTAAACTACAGTAGTCAAAGCATTGAAGAGATGATTCTCGAACAGCAACAACGGACCGAGGGTGAACCCTTGTGGCACTCCCTATGACATTTATAGCATTTTGATATAACCTTATTTCGATTATTGTTCTCCACTTTGGGATACTTGTAACAAAACACTGAAAGATAAGTTACAAAAGCTTAAAAAGTAACAAAACACTGAAAGATAAGTTAAAAAAGTTTTTAAAAATGGGCAGCTAGAATAATAGCTGGTGGTAGCTATGACATCAGGTCTGCCGACGTTTTTGGGCTCTTGAATGGGAAAATTTAGATTCCAGACAAGGCATGAGCAAGGCAACATTATATAAAAATCTGAACAATTGTAGTGCACCAAATTTGAATGAGGTGCTGATGAGGAGGAATTCTCTACAAAGTTATTATAACCTCAGAAATGATCCTAAACCGAGACAAGAATTTCTTAAAAAAAGGTTTTAACTTTTAAATACAGTGGTGCTAAATTTTGGAATAATCTTCCGCGCGAAGCTAAGGAAGTTCAATCAATTTAATATTTCAAAAACATTGTAAAATAATTTAATTGTTAGATAGAAACATTGTATTCCAATCCAAAACGTTTCCCATGGTCACTCTTTAAAACAAGCACTAAGTTCTGGAATCCCACAACAAATTATTATTAGTTTCTAACACAACTAATAATACCATTCTCTCAGTTCGCATTACCTCCACCAATGCAGAAAAATCAGCCGACCTTTTCATTTTTCAATTGTTAATTCCGTGTTTCCGCAAAAAACCGAAGAGATATATCGCCCAGTACCACCCTTGTTCAATGAAACCATTTAGAGATCACCTAAGAACCATGCGAAGTACGAATCGTCCTCAACAATCTAACCGTGTAGCTGTAGTTGTAAATGCTCGGGCGGAGTTGCCGTAGCTAGCTTGGAAGGTTTGAAATTGGATATAGCAATCCTAGAATCACGTCTTAACTTGGCTAACCCGAGCGACGAGATACTTTCAGAACTAAGTTTAATCCGAAATAAGCAACGTGATATTGAAGCTACTATCCGAAAACAAGATGAAATTATATGCAAACTCTACGAGGATAATACATTTTTTAAGTCGAAATTACAATCTTTTATAAATTTAATCCCTGCCGCATCGTATAACAATCAGGAAAACAATACTGGGGGTAAAATTAGCTTTGCTAACAATGTTTGTAAATCACCCTCTATTGTAAACAACCAATTCCATGAGAACAAAGGCTGCGCATCAGGCGATTCACTAATTCTTTTAGATGAACCGCAACTGATTGATGCAGAAAACAAAGCCCTCAATCCCGCTATCGTAATTAACAAAGACGACGAACCTTCCACTCGTACTAGTAATCAGTATCACGAAAATAACATCAGTGAGTCGGCTAATGTAATAAACTTATCTGTTGAGAAACCATCATCCTGCCGCGGAGAACAATTACATGAAATAGGAAAATTGACTACAACTAATAAAACGCCTAAAGAATCGTTCCAGCAAACTCGAAAAAGCTCGATCCCGTGCCCATATTTGTTTGGAAGGGGTTGGTGTGTAAAAGCAAAGCAAACGCGATTATTCTCACCAAAACCCTGGCAGAGAAAAAAATGTGAATGCGCTTAAAAGTGAAGTGCCGTGTCCATTTTTGAAGAAAAGAGGTTTTTGTCTGAAAGGAACAAGTTGCAACTTTCTACATCCCATACAACCCCAACCGTCAGCGCGACCAAGAAATATGTCTCCATATGCCCCATCTACCCACCCGCTCCCCTTTGTCAACCAAGCATTGGACAAGACGTAAGGTTTCCTTTTTTATGTCCTGCCCCCAGGTTTGTGACCCCCTCCTTCCCCCCATTAATGTCCCTACCTGGCCTCCCCGGTTGTATTGAATAGTACAGATCAATCGAACTATATACATGAGATTAAAGGACATAACCCCGCTATTTCTATAGACCTTTCGACCAATAAACCTAAGGGGTCCGAGACAGAATATGTCCCTTCGTTTCTGCTATCAAATGTGATGTCACTGTCTCCAAAAATAGAAGAAGTACGTGAAGTAATACGCTGTGGTAATTACGAATTTGTCAGTTTGGTAGAAACTTGGCTGCAAAGTCACATTCACGATAATATCATCAGTATACAAGGATATAACCTAATTCGTAGAGACAGGGTCGAAGGCACCCATGGTGGTGTTTGTGTTTATATAAAAGATTCCATAGCTTTTACAGTGCTTGATAAACTCTATAACAGTTCATTTGAAGTACTGTGGATCAACATCCGACCTAATAGAGGAATACTACCCAGAGGAATTACTAACTTGATAATTGGCACAGTATACCACCCTCCCAGCGCAGACAATTCAGACACGTTGGACTATCTTTCAAATTGTTTGTCACTATTAGAGTCGCGTTTTCCCAACTGTGGCCTTGTTATCCTTGGTGAATTTAATAAGTTAAACGTGTCCAGACTAAGATCGTGTTATAATCTGAAACAACTCGTAAACTTCCCCACACGTGGGAATAATACGCTGGATATAGTCCTAACAAACCTTAGCACTTATTACGACAAACCTACCAAATGTGCTCCGTTCGGGTTATCCGATCACGTGACCATTGAGACTAGACCAATTAAACGGTCACAAGTTCAAGGAACATCAACAGCATCAGTGAAAGACTTGAGACCTAGTTCTCGCTTTGCTGTAAGGAAATATATAGAGATGGTAGACATTCCTACCTTGCTTAACACAGTCAACTCATGTAAAGAGAAAAAAACATCCCTATTCCAAACAATAATCAACAATGGGTTGGATTCAATTATGCCGCTACGTAATAAAACTGTCAGACTAAATGAACCTCCATGGATGAACACGACTTTGAAAGGTCTTATAAGGAAACGACAAAAAGCCCTTAACAGAAAAGAACTACAGAATTTAAAAAGCTGAGGAATCAAATCAACCGCCAAAGAAAAAAATGTCGGACAAAATATTACGAAAATAGCGTCCACCATTTAAAACAATGTAAACCATCAGCATGGTGGAAAGAGGTTAAAAAGCTTAGTGGAATGAATGTAATCGGGGGAACCTCAGATGAAATTGTGAAAGCTCTGAGACCAGGAGATGACCCTTCTAGCTCAGATAAAAGAGATTTAGCTAACGAGATTAATAAGGCCTTTTTGGCCCCCTATGACTAGATATGTGCTGTTATCCCACATGTGCCGTTATCCTCGTCAACATCTCATCCAACCTGCACAAAGTGATACAGTAATTACTGTAACATCGAATGCTGTTTTTCAAAATCTTCTCAAACTTAATCCCAAAAAAGCTCACGGTCCGGATGGTATACCGTCGTGGCTCTTAAAAGAAAACGCAGATCTATTAGCTGGCCCGATAGCGGCCATTTTGAACAGTTCATATCGGGAATGTTCCCTACCACCAGTTTGGAAGAAGGCGGACGTAGTTCCAATACCGAAAGAAAAGCCCATCCAGGATATCAATCGTCAATTACGCCCTATTTCACTTACACCTATTCTATCGAAACTCGCAGAAGAATTTGTTGTAATGATTTATGTGAAGCCAGCAGTGATGGAATTGATCGATAGTAAACAATTTGAGACAGTGTCGGATAGTTGTACGACATATTCTCTTATAAGCATGCTACACACTTGGAATAAGGATACGGATGGTAACGGTTCAACAACTCGAGTTATGACGTTTGACTTCCGTAAAGCGTTTGATTTAATAGATCACAATATTTTATCGGAGAAGTTAACAAAGTATAACATACCGAGGTCTGTCATGCTTTGGATCTTGGACTTTCTGACTGACCGAGAACATAGGGTAAAACTCGCCCAAGATTGCCATTCCGAATGGGACAAGGTCCCAGCCGGCGTCCCCCAAGGCACAAAGGTCGGTCCTTGGTTATTTTGTATTATGATTAATGATCTAAGTGTTAAGGATGTTAATGATTTATATGAAATATGTTGACGACTCAACCTTGTCGGAATCAGTTTGTAGCGATGGCCCAAGTAACTTACAAAAGTACGTAGATGAGTTTATCCAGAAATCAACAGCCGATGGCTTTCAGATAAACGAATAAAAATGCAAAGAGTTTTGTATAAGCTTCGCACCATCCACACGTGAATTCCAGCCAATTACTATTAATGGCAAAATTGTCGAACGTGTAACATCGGTAAAATTGCTGGGTCTAACCATCTCAAATAACCTGAAGTAGAATAGTCATATTTCACACGTTTGTAAAAAGGTCGCACCTCGTCTATATTTTTTAAGACAACTAAAACGAGCGAAACTACCAGCTAACGACCTAATCCTTTTCTACTCCACCTGCATTCGACCAGTCATCGAGTATGCGTGCCAAGCATTTCACGACTCATTACCCAAATATCTGTCTGATGATCTTGAAAGACTTCAGAAACGAGCTTTTCGAATAATATTTCCAGATCAACACTACAAAGAAGCCTTGAGGAACACGAACACCCATCACTGTACGATAGAAGACAGGAATTAACAACAAAACTTTTTAAGAACATAGTCAATAATCCTGAGCACAAATTAACAGATTTGTTACCGCCATTAAATAACGATAATAGCCACTTTTTGCGTAAAAATAGGAAATTTAACGTGCCATTTCACAAAACGAACAGATTTAGAAACAGTTTTATCACTCATAATTCTAATAAGTTTTTTTGAATAACTTTGAATCTGTGTTACCATGAATATGCTAGTTTTTTAACCTACTTTAAATTTTAGCATTACAGTGAGAGTGTTTTAGTAATAATTATAAGTCTGCGCATATGTATATTTTTGAATTGAACAACATAGGAAGAGTTTTATTGTACATAATTCACTACAAGTATAAAGTAATTCTCAATTTTAGAACACTAGTTAGTACATTTTATAATATCGATCTATGATATTTGTAAAATTAACGAAATTAAGCCTTTGGGCTTCAATGTTAATTCTTAATAAAACTATCTATCTATCTATCTATCAGGATGGTCAAAGAAAGCCAGAGGACCCCCATTCACCCTAGCCTTTGTCGTTAGTCAAGCTCTATCCTATGAGGCGGCACAGAACACAATTACCATTAATTTTATAAGTTGTATGACCTCGTTGTTGGCAAAGGAGGGGAGATGTCATGCGTCACACTCAGAAGCTGCCGATGACCTCCTGCATGGGGATGGGTTTATGTATATGTTTAGTTAATGTGATTGATGAAGTAAAGTAATTACTTTTCATGTCTTCATGCCTATCTACACACGGATAACACATGCACATCTAGTTCTATTTCTTTCCTAAGTAGGTAAAAACAAAACATTACCTAATGGGCCATTTATAGCTTCTAAAGCAGTCTTCTGTTTATTTTGCATTTCCAAGACCATAAGGTAGAGATGCACTTCAGCATCACTTTCAATTTTACTCTGATCGACAAATTTTAACATCATCTTCTCAGCTAGAGGTAACAACATGTTAATTTTGATGTTCTCATCATCACAAACACTTGCCTAATAAATAAAAAGAGGAGAGAGAGTCCAGTTGTTGACTTCTAACCACAAATTAATGTATATATACCCCGAATGACAAATGGTCAGGATCGGCTGATCTAAGGTGATACCATGGTAAGGTATATCGGGATTTTTGGATGCATGTGAAGGATGTTATAGATGAAAATCACGAGTGTTAAGTTTATACGTTAATGTCTAAAATTCACACTCGAAATTTCCATCTATTCTTGCTGTACTGCATGTGTCTATTTATGCAATGTTGCTATGTTATTATTCATTGTCTAAATCACAGGATATTCACACCCCAACACAATGTTTTTGTATCTGCGCGTAGCGCTAGATACTACATGCTATCGAGTTGTGTGTGTGTACGTTAAACACTCAGGGGCCGGTTGTATAAAGAAGTGATTAAAGTTAATCATAGTTAAGTGGAAATGTCATCCAATAAGAAGCACGTATTTGAGAGTTAATCACTATTTAACTACAAAATAGTAATTAAAAAAGTGATTAAGAGTTTTATACAACCGGCCCCAGGTCGACTAATTAGCGCTGTACGCCTGCGAACAGGTCGTAAAACAAAGATGGCGGCTTTCTACAGGGTGAAGAGAAACCGTTTGTTTGACTTTGACTGACTGACTGTTGATAAGTTAAAATTGTCCGATAAAAAATCTTTTTGTTATATCCTAGAAGATTGCCCAAAGTAATATCGTAAAGCTTTTTCGTGAGTGACCGTGCATGTTTTTTTAAGGGATGTTAAAATTTTGTTATATGGTACATTTATAGTCACAGCATTTAGAATTATTATGTTCCGTTAAAATTTTGTTATATGGTGCATTAGTCACAGGACATCTTAGAATTATAGGATTGCTTCATAAGTTAATAAATTTTCTTTACAGATTGTATGTATTTTTTCATTTAGCATACATGATACATTAAATGTGGGTACAGTATTTACCTCAGCAATTTTATATCAATTTCATATATACTCTTATTCTGTCTCTTTTTATCATAAAAAATGGTGGCTCACTTACAGTTGATTGCGGTAGAGAAGAGACTGCAATATGAACATGATTTCTGATATCAATAAATATAAACAAAATAACTATACAGCTATGATCTGGAGTTTTAAAATTTTTGTGTTGTTATTTTGAACCGCATGCTAGTTATTAATTAACCAATGAAATAGCTTCATTTGTCATAAATTATTCAAATAAAGCACTGTCCAATCAGAGGCCGGTCCCCAAATCTGGGAACTATCCACGTGACTTGAACAAGGATTATGCATCCAACTCAGACGTTCTCTCGCGCGTTTCGTCGAGAGTAACGGCTGTACACAGGCTATGCATTACGAGTAACTGCCTGCTTTGCATTTAGTCCCATTAAATGATAAGCCTGAACTTGATTTGATTTCACAGTACTTGGCAGATCGTTGACGAACAAGATAAACAATGCTGGGCTGAGGATAGAAGTGGATAGAAGTGGATAGAAGAGGTGGCACTCCAGAGGTTACAAACAGAGGGATTGACGCAGCTCCTGACACTGTTACGCGCTGCTTACGATTTATCAGATATGAGCGGAACCATCTGAGATGGTTGCCTCCAAAACCATATATAGTCGTTACGCAGCTTTTGGATCAGTACATCGTGGTTGACCTTATCGAAAGCTTCTGACATGTCCATGTAAATCATATCAATCTGTCCACCACGATCCAGAAATGACCCAACGTAGTTGAGGGCATCAATCAGGTTAGTCACACAAGATCGTCCAGATATAAACCCATGTTGACTGCTTCTAGTATACGGTATTTGACGTTATTTAGCACACAGCGTTCTAAATCGTTCGAGATAATGCACAGTAGATTAATTCACCGATCGATTTTGCCACCATTCCATATCGACCATGCATACAGTTCCCATGGTAAAAAATAAAATGCCTTGAGTTTAAAGAAAAGAGTTAAGAGTAAAGACTAAACGTGCTAGATCTGCAAAACAACTTGTTATGATCAACTGGAATAATATCACTAACTCCCTTGCCTGCCAGACCATGGTTTAGTTGTTCGCTTTCGTTGTTCTGTTAGGTTGTGCAAAAGACCAAACTTGTGCCAAAACCCTGCACATATTCACATATGTCGTATAGTTAAAGACGTAAATCATAGGAAATGATCAAAGCGTTAAAAATTGAATGATCAAAAATTCCTAAATCATGGAGATAGCATGCATGTAGCATATCATCGACAATAATTTCTAAACAAGTAAACTACATGTAGATAAAAGCAAAAAGAAGTAGGATGTCAAAATGCCACCTCGCCGTGTACGAAGAAACATTCTAGAGTCGCGGTGGTAGCAAGGAATTGTGGGTGCAGGTTGCTGTCAAAGCAATTAGCTGATAAAATGGTTGGAAAAGATGTTCTAATGTGTTCAGGAGGACGTTCAATCGAGCCTCAACATTCCTCTTTTCCACTAACTCGTCAAAATATATAAGTGGTATATAAATGAAGAAGAGCACAAATTGTTACAAATTGCATTTATGTTAAGCATAGTAAGATTCACAATGACCATGTCGTCATCCATTTCCCCTTGCTTTACCGTGTAGCTATATTTCACATGATAATTTGTAAAATCATGAATAATTAATTAGGTCGCAGCATTTCGGTCACATGTATACATCTGTAATCCCCCATAAAGTTCAACATTCTCATAAGCTTGAAGAGAGATATTGAATTCAAAACTGGGAAAAGCTGGGGTTGTTGAATTATAAATTCTTAAATTAACCTTGATACAGATGTCCAATAGTGAGCTAATTAATTAATCAACTTTGATACAGATATCCTAGTCAGCTAATTAATCATTAACTTTGATAGAGATGTCTTGGTGACCTAATTAATTCATCAACTTTCACTTTAACGAGGACTGTTGGTCAAATCGTTCAATCCACCATGAAAGACGCTCATCAAAAATAATAAAATTTTCTTGTATGATTATGTTACACTTTCTAAGCAATCTATTCTCCCCAGCTCTCAGATCAAAAATTTTCCCATTGTAACAATAGGGCCATTTATACGAGCGAAAATAAGCCGCGGCTTAAATAAGTCGCGAACGATTCGTATAAACAGTCAATTCGCAATCAGCCGCGGCTAAAATAAGCCCAGAGTTGAAAGCTAGGCCTAAATAAGCCGCGGCTTGTTGCAAATTGACTGTTTATACGAGTTGTTCGCGGCTTATTTAGGCCGCGACTTATTTTCGCTCGTATAAATGGCCCTAATATACAGTATATGAAGTAACGAGTCAGCTGTTGTGGCTCCTAATAGTCCTTTCTCCCAGAGTAAACTCTCCTCTTTGGCTGTGACTTCCTTGCGCTCCTCTTTCTTGCATGCTACCACGATGCCACTTTTTGAAATTCAGAGATGAGCGAATCCAAAGCTACTAACGTTCGATCTCCTTTCGCCAAAATACTGACGCCATTATGCTTCCTCAACTCCAGTAAATGGCAATTTTTTGCACATACCAACAAGTACAAACTTTTCGGCGGGTATACCGTTCATCATTTTGCTTCAAAGCCCATTTCGTATAGACCCATTACACTGACGTCACAAATTCTTAGAATGTCCTCCAGACGCTCCCTAACAATATCTGTTCGGCAAAGCGCAAAAATTAACCATTTCAATACAAAATTATTATAAAATTTTACAAAATTTGCTTTGTTTACAAAAGTTATATTGTGCATAGATTACTCGTTTGTCCTCCAGATGCATGGTAACCGACGCTGTGATGTCATGTGCAATGGGTCTGGTGTTGCGTCTGCAAGCAGACACCTTTCTTCGTCTGCAGTTCTTGCCGCACGAAAACATTGAAATGCCATGTTTGGTACAACCAAATTAACATTAAAATGCAATAAACAAATGTGCATTAATCAACGTTGCATAACTTGGAAATTCAAATTAAATCGTTGGCAGAATACCAATGGGAATATATGGCTGTCTACATACATAATTAGTCATTACACATTGTACTTGTTGGGCAGCTTTTTTGTGCGTTCGACGACCAACAATGCGCCCAATCCAATTTACCGAGAGCTCGCGTCGATCGAATTCCGTATCCCGATTTTGTTGGCTCTTATTTCCCGGGAAGAGACTTTTACAATCAACTGGTAAGATGCAAACGCCTATTTTGAAGTTTGACCGGCGAAAGCGTAGAATCCTTCAACCAGATTGTACGAGATGCTATGCATGCCACCATGTACACCCGACGCCGGCGGTTAAGAGTACGAGAGAACCCCTTTACCTTTGATGTTTGGAACAGAATACTTTTGATGTTCATTTCCAGAAGTTGCAATGCTTAGTGGGTTGTTCATGATCAGTCCAACAACGGTTGAAAGAGAAATTGTGTTTCTGCTTCCTGTTCTTTGGAGCTATTTCAAAGAACAAGTAAAGTGGCCAGCGGCGGAACAATGGTTGGAAATGGCTATTCATTGGGATAAGGGATATGTTTCCAGGGGCAGTGGCTGTCATTGATGGAATCCGTTATAGGATACGAAGACCGTAGACTGAACCTCAGCAGTTATTTTACAGTCGCCATTGCAGATACCACAACTTTTCAACCCAAATAATAATGGATAACCGCGGCAATATCGTATTCATTCAGTCGGGATTCTTGGAACATACAGCGATAGCGGCCAGTTTCAATTAATGGCTAACATATAGGTACTGATGAAGAACTCTATCTACCACTGGGTGTATATATTTTAGCTGAATAACTATATAACTGAGATTATCACTTCCTTTTCTCCCTAGCTTGCGCGTTGTTGGGCTCAAAAACTCAATCTACTCAAATCATTGTACTTCGTGCCAATTAATGCGAAGCTAGATTTTTACTTCAAAGTTGTGTTACCTTCAATCACGTATACGGAATTTTGATATGGGGTTCATGTGGAAAGATCTTGTTCGACGAGTTGGAACGAATACATGCATGTTCGGCCAGCGAAAGTCATCTTTGGCCTGGATTGGTACACCTCAAGAAAAGATGTTCTTGCCAAAGTAAAGTGGTTTACGCTGAATAGTATGTTTAAACAACAACTGTTATACTTAGCTTATAAAAACTATTATAATCTAGTTCCTGCAACAGTGCAGTCTCTATTCATAAAAAGTAGCCATCGCTATGAACTTAGAAATAAAATGACTACCGAAACCTAACACGGACTGTCTGAAAAAATCCATATCTTGCCAGGCTGTCACTCTCTGGAACTCGCTAGAGAAAGTTATCAACTGAAACTCTTGCTAAATTCAAAAAGTATATGTCAAGGCTGTTGCAATTATAGACAGTAATAATTAATATATAACTAGCTAATTTATTGCTAAATTTAATCAAACCCTGCTTTAATAGCCTTATAGTTATATTTTATAGTAATGCATGTTAATCTCGCTAAGAGTATACTTCTACTTGCATGTCTAATGTATTTCGTCGTTATTTCCTAAACAGTTGATGTTTTGGTATTATTGACTAAACACTAGATAGTCATATATAATATAACAATTGTGCTACAATGGGACGCCAGTAGTTAATATGTATATAGAGATTGTGTAAAATTGTTCTAAGATATATGACGTGTAATTTGTTGTTCTGTTAGATCACGTAGATGTATTTATGTTTATATTTCTATATTGTAGTTAGTTTCACGTGCACGATCACATCAGCTATGCTGTAAATTTACCATCGTGTTTAAATAAATGCTTCTAGTATTATTATTATGTTCATAAAACGTTCATCTCACGTGATGTTATTTATAACAATATCCCAGACTGGACCATTTCCTCTATAACTCGTCTCGGAGTTCTTAACAATGCTATACGTATTATTGCAATGGTGTCATTTTTTAGTATAAATAACTGACTTTATATTTGTATTCCCTTTGGGCCTTTCAATTAGTAAAAAAATGTCATGACTCATGATCTGCAATAGACCTTTCTTATATAATAACGTCAAACACGGAAAAACACTTAATGCGTTATCCCAATTGGTCAAGGAAGACCACTGCGTATATATATTAATTATTTCTGGGAGGAAACACAGTGATAATACGTTATAACCAATAAACATTGTCGCCAATTTTGCCCGTATAATAAAACTAAGAATTTTAAATAATTCAAAATGTCTGTAGACAGGCGAGGACCTTACCAATGTAATACCCACACATAGACTGAACACTATACTACGAATACTCTCTTGTATGATGCGTTGCAAAATTCAAGGAAAACTGTAACAATATTAAACAAAAAAGTAAAAAACATGCTGTTTGTTATCGTCCACTCTATTAACGGCGGCCATTTTAGGTCGGCCAGCGATCTAGGTAAGCGGTAAACACCATGAACATAGGTCGTTTTCTCGACCGGAAAACAGAAAAATTGTGATTTAATACCCTTTCCCTTCGAGAAGTGTAATAATTTAAAAATGTGCAAATAAAATAAAGATTTTGTATAAATTAGTTTGTCAAGGTTTATCATTTGATGGCAAATCTCAAAAATTCAACATGTTAATAATGTTTAATATATTTTATGCGTTTTGTCTTTATCACCTAGCATCCATATCAAACCAGTGTACTGCAATGACATTTAATATTTTTGCTTACACTTTGTTTTGACATGCAAAATCCGCATGACTAATTTACTTTTATTACCTGGTTGCAGAATAGAAGTTATTTATTCTATTTTTCTCAAAACACTATCATGCGCATGAGGTACCAACATTTTAGACTTCAACAAACCTGCAGGACATAGCTCATGACAACCCAGAAGTAATAAGGATTTTTCTGAAACATTTTATACAAACTCATTGCTACCTGGAATGATACAAAAAAAAACGTGATGGATGCATAACTCTCCATCGACTATAATACTATATGAAAATAGCTATTTTATATTAGTTATCAATACTCAGATAATTAACAAATTCGAGGTGAATATACGATTATTACCGAGACGGGACGAAGTCGAGACACCGAGATAAAGGCGAGGTGAATACTGGATATTCACTGTATCAAATATCAGTTTAATTAAAATTCAGAAATAAAACTATTTTCGGTCGGTTCACGGTTACACTGTTTTAGTGTTGCAGTGTTTCTTGTGCACACAAAATGGCTTCCTGTCTGACTTTATTGATTTATTACAAAGTTGTGTTTCTCAATAAACCTCTGCTTAGAATATAAACACATGCAACAATGGAATGACTTAAATCAGAATTAAAAAATAGTTTCTGTTTACCTTTAATATGCATGTGCAGGAAATGGCTAAGAAAATTGGTAAAATGAAATGTAAAACTATTGCTTGAAATTAAGTTTTAATACACTTTTCTCTTCACAACTTTCGAAAACACAATACAGCGTCAGGACACCATACAGCACAATAAAAACATGACACATCAAAACAAAAACTACCGTACAAATTGAGATATCGATAGGATTTTTAAAAGAATATCACGGCAGGTTTTTCCCAACAGTCGGGATAGTTTTTGCCATTTGTTTCAAGTGAATAAGTTTTAAATTGTCCTTGAATATGTTTTTCATAGTAAAAATAAAAGACCTATCAAGTTAAACACAAAATGTTCGTGGTTCTTCGTTTTCTCTTCACAACTTTCGAAAACACAATACAGCGTCAGGACACCATACAGCACAATAAAAACATGACACATCAAAACAAAAACTACCGTACAAATTGAGATATCGATAGGATTTTTAAAAGAATATCACGGCAGGTTTTTCCCAACAGTCGGGATAGTTTTTGCCATTTGTTTCAAGTGAATAAGTTTTAAATTGTCCTTGAATATGTTTTTCATAGTAAAAATAAAAGACCTATCAAGTTAAACACAAAATGTTCGTGGTTCTTCGTTTTCTCTTCACAACTTTCGAAAACACAATACAGCGTCAGGACACCATACAGCACAATAAAAACATGACACATCAAAACAAAAACTACCGTACAAATTGAGATATCGATAGGATTTTTAAAAGAATATCACGGCAGGTTTTTCCCAACAGTCGGGATAGTTTTTGCCATTTGTTTCAAGTGAATAAGTTTTAAATTGTCCTTGAATATGTTTTTCATAGTAAAAATAAAAGACCTATCAAGTTAAACACAAAATGTTCGTGGTTCTTCGTTTTCTGGGGACGATTGTTTCAATATTTCGTCGATTTCGAAACCAAATTTGCGGAATCATTATTTTTGAAAAGCGTCACTGTTTATCTGCTAGTAAATTTTCGCAGATTCATCTGGTCAACTAGCCAATCAGAATGCGCGAAAGCTAATTTGGTATACACAAGTTTTATATACTTATATTCAATATTACCTGTTGTTGTTTCTTGAACTGTGACGTTCTTACATAAGACATAAAAAGATGTGTACATAATTCTTCATTTCTTGGGCTCTTTTTAAGGGCTACTTCATAGATTTCAGATATTTCAGAATCTGCAATTTTTTAGGATAACTGCTATTGTAAATTTATGGCAATAATCAGGGACTTGGCGATCGAAAGTGTGGGGTATAACCCCAACTATGAAACTCAGGTTAAAATCAGGTAAAATTCAAGTTAAAATTTTGAGATTTTCAGGTAACATTTGCGTATTTTTGTAAAATACAGTCCATTCAGATCCAATTCGTTTGCAAATTTGCTTTAGAAAACGCCAGAAATGCAGACCTCGAGCTTCAAAAATGTAAAAATTTTCTGGGGGAGGACCCCATACCCCCTCGTCTTCAAAAATATTCTCCATTATAATTAATACATTTCAGGAAAATTTTTAACATATTGAAGTTCAAATTTCAGGTTAAATCCTACGACACCAACCCCCAACTTCACATGCTTCGCTACGTCCCTGGTAATAATACAGTAATGGTTATAAAAGAAGGGATAAGCAGTGATATGTGAAAAAATGTTAATCAATATTTCCTTCATCATGTCATGCACAATTTGTTCATATCACCAGTCTTAATCAAACAAATGCTAGTCAAAAATCCTATGACTAAGGTTTCTAAAGTATTTCACAAGGATTTATTATGAGCAAGACATCTACACCAAAAATTAAATAATTTTAGCTTATTTACTGTTTGTGAGAGAGGAAGCAGTCAGTGGCAAGAAATTGAATGCCTATTCAACATCTATTTAATTCTGTTATTGGTCCAGAGCTGATTTATCGCCCAAATTGTTCAATAGACAATTCCCTTTATAGACTAATTTAAAAACTAAGCAAGGAGATGCAAATAAATCACTCCGGCTAGAAAGAGCATACTAAAGTGAGTAAAATTGCAAAGTTTGGTTGCGAAATGTTGTAAAGTGCGGAAAATATAGCCTTGCAAAGTTTGCAAATTGTGTATACTTTTGTATTGCGAGCGGAATACAAAAGTTTACAAAATTTGCGAACTTTGCAAGGCTATATATGCTCCGCATTGTACAACATTTCGCAACCAAAACCTTTTTAGCAATTTTACTCGTTTTAATATGCTGTTTCCGGAAATATATATTTTTGCCAAGATAAAAAATTAGTCTATAATGAGAATTGTCTGTTCCTGTCTTGGCTAAGACAAAGATCTCTCGTGAGTGGGCTATCAGCTTAATGTGGAAAGTCCAACCGAGTTACACCCAGTCAAGGCTTAAAGTTTATAAATCTGGTGAGTGCAATAATATTTCGCTAAATCGTTGTCCAAATCAACATAGTTTGGGCTGCCCGTTTTGTGATAAAGTTACTCGACGATCTCAGAAGAACGCTTAATGTTCTAAGTGCGATTTTTTATATTATCACCTAAACTGTCTTAATTCTGAGTATGGATAATCTAAACTTTGTTGCATATGCTGCACTCTACAATCGTGTAATTTTTCTACCGATTCCACTGATGATCCTACTTCTAGTTCTTTGACTGTGCCATGTGAGTTAAGCAGTCTTGTAAAACTTCGTTGCCTAAAGATTATCCATCAAAATATTCGAAACCTCAGGTCAAAGCTAGATGAGTTGAGATTGTTGTGCATGTACATTATATATGGTGGAATACGAGTAGATCTTAGATATTAAAATATTGATTCCAGTATATGAAATAGGAAAAACAATTGTGGGGGGTATTGCAGTCTAGGTTGATGAAGTGTTGTTGCTTGTAAGGCGAGGTAATTTTGAAATGGAAGGATTGGAGGGTCTTTGGCTAGAATTCTTCTTGCCAAAATAGCGTGGAATTATAATCGGTACATTCCATATAGGCCACCTAATATGTCGCAACACCATGATAGCGATTTAACGACCAACATGCAGAGACAGAACCTCGACACTACAAGTGCTACCGGTAAAGAAGTAATTGGTTTCGGTGATTTCAACTGTAACTTTCTACCATCCAGATATCGCGTCTCAGAATGTAAACAATTAAAGTCCATTCCGAAGTTTATGAATACCCTGTTCATATGAATACCCATATCATTCAATTTGTTAAAGACCCAAAACGTATTTCTCAACCACGGCTACTCTTAGAAATTATTGCGACAAACGGTGCAAACAATATTATCAGAAATGGAGTTGCCAGTGTTAGCCTAAGCGATCATGAGATCGGCACTGGAGATAATCAGTTGCCTTGTTCGCTTATGAAGACTGCTACCAAAGACAACACATCGCATACTTTCAAATTTTCGGAAATTTCAGAAACATTTGTTTTTACTCAATCATAGAGAACCTTAAAGAGTATGAGCAACAAAAATTACTTATAATAAAAGTTTCTTCCATTTGAAAGAACTTGTCAAATAGTAATGGAGCATATATTACAAATCTTTCGTATGTTTCTTCGTTTCTGAGATATTTCAATGTGTTTGAAATGCAAATTAAGACGTCACAAGCCGGGTACAGAATTCTGTACCCAACTTGCGACGTCATAATTTGCATATCAAACACATTGAAATATTTCAATAACGAAGAAAGATACGAAAGATTTGTAATATATGTTCCATTACCATTTCACAAGCTCTTTCAGATAAAAGAAACTTTTATTGCAAACAATTTTTGTTGCTTATACCCTTTAAAACGAATAAAGCAGCCGGTATTGATCAACTTCCACCTTGGCTAACGAAAGACTCGGCCAGAATAAACAAGGAAAGTTTCTTATGGACTAAAAAGTAACCCCCATTCACAGGTGACAAAGCTTCCAATATGGATAATTACAGTCCAACGTCTTTAATTTATCTCTCCTCAAAGATACAGTTTAGGAGTTCTTGTTGATGATAAGCTCTCATGGAAATCTCACATAACGTAACTCGTATGGAAGGCTATAGCGAGAGAATTGGGTTACTTGGCAGGCTAAGAAAGGATTTAACAACATATTCAGCAAGCAAGGTCTTCAAATTGTTCATATTCCCGATATTTGATTATTGTGATTGTACTTGGGCCTGCTGCTACAGAAAGGACAATAATGCCTTGGAAAGTCTTCAAAGGCGAACGGCCAGAATTGTTCCGAAGATCTCTAATAGCAATATAGCCCTTGAGAGGGACGGTTAAACAAACACACGTAGCATATCCTAAAACCAGTAAATAAGTGCCTGAAAGGGTCTGTTCACTTAAAACAGGGACATATCAGTAGAACAACTATAGACGGAGCAATCTATTGCATCTGCCTCGTCTTAGACAAGAAACAACAAAGAATGAAAGAAATCGGTGTTTTTTGTAAGTGTTGTGTGGTTTAGTTTAGTTTAGCAACAAATAAGTGCGATGACAATTTATCAACCATTATTCCTAACGTAGTCGCATGTACGTTTCAATCTAAACTTTATTATTTTACTCTTTGCATTTTGTACAGTATACAGGGTGCATAAAAAAAGGTAATCGAACTTCAGCGCGCTATTGCATCTGAATTACTCTGCGTATGACAGAAATTTCTCATATTCGGAAAGATCAAGCTTTTATCTGTCGAACGATATGTTCTTCATGCGAAATGGATAACAAGTGAGCAAATACGAATGCAATAAAAAATGTTAGTTAGTTAACCGCTGGGCCTTTAGGACTTAAGTTCATGAATTTCACTTCATTAAACTACGCATATATTCATATTAATTATTATCAAGTAGGAACAAATCATAGCTAAGCTATGATGAGTTCGTGATTAATTGCTTTTTCTTGTGTTATGCACTCATGCACTGCCTTAATTAGGCACAGAGATGAAAAAATGCGCTACTGAATCCACTTTGAAACAACCGGCCGCAGATCTTTCCAACTATAAAAATTTTTTGTTCATACGCCGAATAATTCACGTACGATAGCCCGCCGAAGTTCGATTACCTTTTGTTTATACACACTGTATAGTTATGTTTCCCAATGCAGGAATGCATAACAACGTCTCTCATGCGCTGAAACAATCACCCTGCTAAAATGAAGGTTTTATCTATCAATCTATATATTAATATATACATTCTGTAGCGATTAAAGGCAGTCTAAGTGACGACTCTAGCTAAGAAATTGGTCTGGACATCATAAACTTACGTTTTTCCATTTCTCTAAAACATATTGTCATTGCTTGCAATGTTGCATCGTCACAAATCTGCACTTTCTTTACTTCATTCATCAACTTTTCACATTCGTCGCGTCTTCCAGACCTGAGCAAGGCAAGTGATTTCAAAACCTACAAAAATATTATGATGATCTTTTAATGAAATAGACATTCAGGTTCCCATACTACAATAATCCTACATATTTTCCAAGTACAATCATTTACAGAACAATCATTCTACTTGAAAAAGTTGAATTATTCCTTGCTATGCAACGTAGTTTTCAAAATAGTAAGGTGACCAATAAAGTAACTATTGTTGATTGAGGTAGTCAACATATAACCTTGAGACAAGATGATGATGCGGTCATTACAGCTCAAATCATCAAGGTGATTTAACCCTACCCCCTGGATTGGCTTAAAATGTGGCATAGGTATCATAGATATCTTATATACACTATAGATAGTGCATCTAATTATTCTGCAATTCAAAAATTGAAGCCGTGATTGCAGACTCAGGATATTCTCATGAAATGAGAAGATTCGTATGTTTTCTATTTTTTAAACAGGGAACTTAAACATTAAGTTAAACTTATTCCAAATACATTGTTGTTTTTTAAGCGTTTATTAGCGAGTGCATGGGTAATCGCTGGATTATTCTTGGCTTCAAATTTACTACACAGCTAAAAACGATCAGGTTGTTGCAATATTGATGAAAACAGGATTGAACAATGTTGTGCGGCCCACATTGTTTACAGTTGTCAACAATATTGAACAATATTGTTACACTCGATTCAGGCTCAACAATATTGTTCAATATTTTGGACAAGTGTGAACAACGTGGGCAGCAGAACATTGTTCAATCCTGTCAAACAGCAGGCTCATAATTTTTAGTTTTTACGCATGTAATAGAGATGCGCTATCTAGTGTATATAAGATATATCTATGATAGGTATGTGTAAAGTTCCATGTCAGCAATACCCTTGCCATGTATTTTTCCAATATTCCCACCCATTCCAGTGTTACAGGCCGGGAAACAGAGTTGATGTTACTGGGTCCACAAAACTGCTCCAGAAATTGACAAAATCAGGTTGTGAAATAAAACATGGTCCTATGGCATTTTCAGCTATACTGAATCTGCAGAACACATCTATTAAAGCTGATGATACCCCTAAAGACAGCTATTCCAATAACAATGAGCACTGTATTTTCAAACCATCTGAAACCGGTAGTAAGTTGAGTGGTTGAGGGTGTCCAAATGAAAAGTACAAACTATTTTAAACAAATACTTTTTTTGTATATATATATATATATAAATATATTGAAAATATGTAGAAGTTTCAGATTGTTACTAGTAACAGTTCCTAGGAAATGTAATAGGTAAAATGTACGGTTTCCCTCCAGCACATCGAGTTACATGTTTCCGAATTGCCGATCTGAGCATGCTCAGTTCCTACATGAGGAGGAGACTGAAACAGGTTTAAAAATGTTGTCTCAAAAGTAAAGATCAAAGCATAAGATGCATCTATATGGTATGTACCGAATGAGGTTTTTTGCATTTAATGTTTCCCGTTTGTCAACTCATGATATCTTGACTACAACCGATCGATCTAAAAACAGGGATGGCTCCAGCATGACTTGGTAGAGGGGTGTTCTGTCAACTCTGGTGCTGAGTTGTGTCGGTCATGTGCATGTGCCCGTCCGCCTATGCATCCATGAACTCGCTTGACTACTGCAAAGTCTTGCTTGACTACAGTATTTGAATTTAATTGTTGTTCACAGTTCGCTTATCATCATGTTATTACTAAAATTACTGTATCTCGTTTTGTCTCTAATATATTTTTTTGCTTTATCATGAAAAATAGCACCCCCTCTGGCCAGGGCTAGGGGATGCCCCCCCCCCCCCCCGCATCCCCCAGTAAATCCATCCCTGTCTAAAATCACTGGCTTTATACTATCCAATACCAGTTGTAATGTTGACCAGAGCACCATCATATTGATTAAATTGTTGTGCATTAGCCACCTTGGGGCACGACCTTTTTTAAGAATTCGTCCGTGTGGACGCATTCTCCCAACATTCCCACGTGCATTCAATCTCGAAACCAGAGCCTGCAATCCTCTGAGGAGGCTTGCTGAGGCTCTGGGAAACACCAGCCAAAGTCGGACGCTGATTGGTTGTTTTTCAAGTGCTAATTATTATTCAAACTGTGAGCCGTTAGCCGTATTTAGTGATTCAAACATCGTTTAAAATTAATATAAAGTTTATTTCTGTTTGTATATTATGTTTAAACATATCAATGAAACACACAGCATAACTTTAATAAACTTATTAATCTTCCCTAGCTTCTCATATGAAACAATAGAGAGGCCCCATTAGGGGTTATCGGGATACAGGATATTTAAGGGAAAAATTAGAGGGATACGGGATATTAGAGGGATACGGGATATATATATTGTCCATGTCCTATGTACTCTTTAATTTTGACATTATAGGGATACAATACTGAATAATTATAGGAATACGGGATATTTGAACGAAAAATAACAGGATCGGAATACCCATCCCCTAATGGGGCCTCAATAGACTATTCAGATATTGATATGCCAATAACAAAATGTAGAATAACAACAGTGCAGCATTACCATATAAGGTCATGATAAGCCGTTGCCTATAATATTTAAAATAACACAACAATCCATGATTTACCGTAATTAAACAAGTTAAAATAAATCACTACCAGTATCTTACAACAATTCAAAACCATGGCAAGTGTTCTTTGAAGATTTAAAGTCGTAATAAGCTTAAACAACGGCATAATTCATGTTTGACGGCAGTAATGTCTATTTATAAATGTCGAGCGGAGTACTGGATCCAAATGTACTGACTTTCGTGCAAAAGTCGCCGGTGTTTCCCAGAGCCTCAGCAAGCCTCCACAGAGGATTGCGGGCTCTGGTTTCGAGATTGACGTGCATTATCACACCCATCCTCGTCCCCAGGGCCTCTCGGCCGCACGCGTCTTCCGTAGGCCCTGGGACACACGGAACCGGAAGTGCAAGAAAACTTGCAGTAGTTTCTAAAGCGCATGCTCTTGGATTGGGACGCTTTAGTAATCGTAACAATTTTCACAGTGAAGTATTACGAAGAAACGAAGTATCTGTATTGACATGTGTTGATAGAATAATTTTGCCCAGCGGAAACTGCTCAACTTCTGCGAAATAGCAAGAAATAGCAGTTTTCTGCAAGAAATAGTAGTTTTCCAATCACACCTCTCCCTTTAGTCGTCTAACCCAGCTGAGCCTAATTTTCAATGAGTGACCGAGTGAAATGGCCCTGGGGACGAGAATGTATCACACTATAAAAGCACGCGACTCGTTTTCTATTTCTTAATGGACGACTTGCGCTTTAGACTAAATTTTAATCTAAGTAAGAACAACGAAATCTATCACCACAGCTGGAAAGAACGTCTTGGAATTAGTAATATTACAAAGTTTGGTTGCGAAATGTTGTAAAATACGGAAAATATAGCCCTTCAAAGTTGGCAAATTTGTATACTTTTGTATTACGTGCGTGAATTGGTAACTAAATTAGTTACCAATTTCCGCACGTAATAGAAATGTATACAAATTTGCCAACTTCGCAGGACTATATTTTCCGTATTTTACAACATTTCGCAACCAAACTTTGCAGTTTTTCTAATTTTGATAACTTCTATCAGAAAATATCCTTTGTTATTCCCAGATTAAAATTTTTTCTAAAGCGTAAGTCGTCCATTACCGCATTAAAAAAACAAATTACAATATATGTTTACAGAAATACAACTTATTTAAATATTAAAAGAAAACTACAATTCTAAATCTAAAACTATTGTAAAGTTAAAAACAACATGTCCAATCATCATTGATTCAATAACTCAATGGGTAGAGCAACGGTGTAGAAACCCTAAAATGGCAGTTCTAATCCCGCTCAAAACAAGAGAACAAATTTTTCGTTCTCCTCTGCAGTGTTAGTCTCCTAGGCATACCTACTTAGCGGGCTGAGCCCTCGCGTAAGGTATGCTTACTTTGGCTAAGAATTCCTTTCCTCAAAATTAGCCAATCACAGCTTTCCCACGAAAATTGTGGGGCTTCACCTTTGACTTTGAGTCGTCAAAAGTTTCAAAACATTTAATCTTGAACATTTTATATCTTCATTTGTACGTATTCATATCTTAAACCGATTATCTGCGAGAGCTGAGAGATATATTTGTTATACATATACTAGTCTACAAATTTACAATATGGAACAATTGTAAAATCCGTTAGAATTTGTCGAGCTATTGTTTTAAACAGACAGTGTAGTATAAAATCGAACAATATCACCTAAAATATTTCGCGATGTTTTGATTACTTTACAAGCGTTTGCAGGTGTTACTGTAACACGGGTAATATACTGGACAAAGACGTCAAGACAAAGTTATAAAGTTACAGTGTACATTTTAATACTGGGGGTGTCGATAATAGATTTATAAATACTAATTGCATGAAGATTACAGAATTGACCATTTGCGTAATAGACTAAATTTTGAACTAAACAAGTCTAGACAAAAAATTCATCACAGCTTGAAGGAGCATCACAAAATTAGTAATATTCCAAAGTTTCGTTGCAAAATGTTGTAAAATGCGGAAAATATAGCCTTGCGAAATTTGCAATTTTCAGTCATTTTAGATTACAAACGGGAAATTGACAGCCCCAAACCCTTCGAGGCTGTCAATTTCCGGTTTGTAATCTAAAATGACTGAAAATTGCAAACTTCGCAAGGCTATATTTTCCGCATTTTACAACATTTTGCAACGAAACTTTGGAATATTACTAATTTTGTGATGTTCTTTCAAGCTATAATGAAATTTTTGTAGAGATCAAAATTTAGTCTATTACGCAAATGGTCAATTCAGCCTATATAAAATACTGAATTGATTCATTGCATATTTCGGTTTCTAAGTTTGTATATGACTAGCCAGTTTATAAAGTTTAATAAAATCGTAATTACAAAAGTCGCTCTGATATTGAACGTTCGGAAACTTATAGTATATATTGAATATACATGCCATCACGCAGTCGCGTCAAGTTCAAAACAAGTATTACCAGTGAATAGTTTCA